ATCTTATCTCCAACTCCACCTCTGACGCGTTACATCACCGAGGGACGTCCTGCTCCCCGTCCCAGACGCACCCCTCAACCAGCTGACCTCCGAGAGGGTGTGGCTAAAGCCTATGATACCGTCAGAGAGGCACGTCTCTGCATCATCATGTCCAGTGTGTCCACTCTTACATGTAGAAAGTGTTCAATAACATCTTTTGTTTTGACTTTAACTACAGGGAGTGATTGACACCGCTCAGACTCTGTGTGACGTGGCGTCTCGCGGACACGAGCAGAAAGGTCTTCCTGGAGCAGTGGGTGGGGTTTTACGTCAAATCCCGCCCACTGTGGTCCGTCCACTTATAGTCGCCTCAGAAGCCACTTCCAACCTGCTGGGAGGAATGAGGAACCAAATCAAACCAGACGCGCGCAAAGAGGACTTCTTAAAATGGCGCACAGAAGATGGCCAAGAATGATATTGTCAGTGTGAATGCGAGAGTGTGAGTGCATCTGTGAGTATCAATGCAAAAACAAAGGACAAATGAACCATTTTTAAAGTGGCTTCCACATAGCTCGCACACTTTGTTCCATGCAATGCACATGTTTTCGTCTTGCACTTTTTGCTAGAAGCCTTGCGCTCTAGGCAGCCAAGTGCAGCTCGGTCTCATATTGTCACATTGAAACTTATGCAATCATATCAGTCTGTATCTTTGTTTACTCTGTGAGCTCAAGATCAGATGGTTCCACTTTCTTGCACACTATTCTCCCTCTGAAGTATTACGAACATGTTGAGTTGTAATTAATGAAGGTGAAATGCTCATTAAAGGAACATTCCACTTTTTTTGGAAGGTTTACAAATCACCTAGAGTTTAGCCATTTTGACTACTACGCCGATTTTTGGTGTCTGGCAGAAGCACTTTTAGCTTAGCTTAGCATAAATCATTAGATCGGATTAGACCATTAGCATCTCGCTCAAAAAGTTTCAATAATTTTCTTATCTAAAGCTTGACTCTTCTGTGGTTACATCTTGTGCTAAGAGCATAAAAATAGTTGATATTGTCAAGGCCAGGGGTGTCCAAACTTGGTCCTGGAGAGCCAGTGTCCAGGAGAGTTTAGCTCCAACCCTAATCAAACATACCTGAACCAGCTAATCAAGCTATACTGGATATACTAGAAACTTCCTGGCAGGTGTGTTAAAGCGTGGTCTGAGTTTGGACATCCCTGGTCCAGGCCGATATGACTAGGAACTACATTAGGAACTATATGATTCTTGTGTAATTATCCAGGAAATTTGCTGCCGTTCCACGGCTGTAGCAGGCGCAATGGTATTATGGATCATCACTTGTACACGCTCCCTGTGCAAGCAGATAGTCATGTTGGAATTTACGAAGCCTGGGACTATTTTCAGGTGCCGCAGAATATAATTGCATATGCAACAGTTGTGTTACAGCATAAAAGTTCCTTGATTATTACACCAGAATGTGAGTATAGTTCCTAGCCATATGGGCCTAGATCACAGGTGTCAAACTCAGTTCCAAAAGGGCCGCAGCTCTGCACAGTTTAGTTCCAACCCTAATTAAACACACCTGATCAAACTAATTGAGTCCTTCAGGCTTGTTTGAAACCTACAGGAAAGTGTGTTGGAGCAGGGTTGGAACTAAACTGTGCAGGGCTTCGGCCCTTTTGGGACTGAGTTTGACACCCCTGGCCTAGATTATAGTAACTTTTCAATTTGTCAGTCTTAGTACAGAATGTAACTACAGAGCAATCAAGATTAAATAGGAAGTCATCTAAACTCTTTGATCATTTTGGAGCGAGATGCCATTGGTCTAATCTGATTCAATGATTTATGCTAAGCTAAGCTAAAAGTGCTCCTGCTAGGCCTGGAGATCAGCTTAATAGATTCAAAAGTGGTAAAACTCAACTAGCTTAGCATTAATCATTGAATCAGATTAGACCATTAGCATCATGCTCAAATGTTTCAATATTTTCTTATTTAAAGCTTGAATCTTTTGTAGTTGCATCTTGTACTAAAAACGTAAAAAGTTGCTATTTTCTAGGCTGATATAGCTAGGAACTATACTCTCATTCTTGCGTAGTATTTAAGAAACTTTGCTGCCGTTCCACGCTGTAGCAGGCGCAATGATATCATGGATCGTCACTGGTACACGCTCCCTGTGCAAGCAGATAAATATATTGGAATTCACAAAGCTTGGTACTATTTTCAGGTGCTGCAGAATATAATTGCATCATCTGCAGTCGTGTTATGGCATAAAAGTTCCTTGACTATTACACCAGAATGTGAGTATAGTTCCTAGCTATATTAGCCTAGATTATAGCTACTTTTCAATTTCCGTCAGTCTTAGTACACATTGTGACTACAAAAGAATTGAGCTTTACATGGGAAATTATCGAAACTCTTTAATAATTTTGAAATGAGATGCTAATGGTCTAATCCGATTCAATGATTTATGCTAAGCTAAGCTAAAGTGCTCCTGCTATGTCCGCAGATCATCTAAACGGATTACACAATGGTAAAACTCAACTGTTAAACACTGACTATAAATGAGCCTGTTTACTACAAAAAAGTGGAGTGTTCCTTTAAAAGCATCGAGTTACCGTAGTTGTCATTTAACACTAAGAAAGTGATTCTTCTTCGTCCGCTTGTGTTTTTTTACACATGGTCCTCAATCCCTATGTCTTTGTGCCATAAATCGACATTATAAAGATCTTGTTTTGTCCTCTTTAACGTTCTTTCCTAAACAAATTATAATTTCATTACTCTTGTGGTGCGGTCGTGAGGAAGAATTGGGGAATTCGGGGGAATCTTAAAAAAATGTCCAGGTCATATTTCAGCCCGAAATTAAAATACAACTAAGAGTTTACATTTAAAACAAACTTTGTGAGAATTCTCATTTTAGTTTTCATGACAAGTGTGCATATTTACATCTCATACACACTATAGTACAGTTTTAATTTGAAATCATGGTCATATATAGAGACTTTGCTTTGCTATTATAATCCTTTCTTCCAAATTGCAGTAATAGTTACTTTTAATAATTACAACAATAATAATTATGGATAGAAATGTGTTAAATTGCCATGAAAAACTTCCGAAAACAATGACTTTCTCTTCAATCAATATATCATTTCTTTGGATTTTCTGGTGAAATGTGACCCAGACGTGCTCTTGATTGACTTAACCTTTTATCTGCCATTTACCATGCTTGCTTTCGTCTCATTAGTTGCCTTCCTAAACGTTTTAAAACATTTTATTTCATATTTGTAATGACTAATGAAATGTAAAAAAAAAAAATGAAGATGTTGAGCATTTGAGAGATGAGGGGTCAGTCAGTCGACTGAGATTTAGTGGGTAACGTTACATTCGCTTCTTTGTTTTTGTTTATTGCATAACAGTGTAAGGGAAGTGCGTTTTGGCGTGTGTTTTTACATGTATGTACAGTGTGTGTTCAGTGTGAGTGTGTCTGGACGTGCATGCGAGTGCGTGTGTGTTGACTGACAGGCTATGTGATTCATAGCTATCAGTGTGCGTTTGTTTCTTCTGTAATTACAACTATATCATACGCTGTAAGAATTACCTGTATAGTACCAAGACAATGTGTAAACTAATTAATACAAAAAAAAGGAATAAAAATGTGCATTTGAAAAAAAGTTGTAGTTTGCTGTTGTACATTTTAAAACAGAGGAATGAATAGATTATTCCTTAAAGGAAGATTTTGTGTCATTGCTCTCTTAGAAAATCTATTTTTTTTAACAACTGAGCAAAGGATTCGGCTTTCTGAGCAGTTATTACATTAACAAATGCTACATTAACCAAGCATTTTTTGTTAACAGTTGCGGATGTGTGTTTTACCCACATGAAAAAAATACTATAGTACACTAAAACACTAATATATAATAAATATAACAGCATTTTTTAACCATTCTAGAGTGTATTATAGCATTTACAACACTTTAGCATTTTTTTTTATGGTTCTGTGGGACAAAAATGCCATGTTGGTGGAGATGTAATGATTTAGGGGATATTGTCTTGGTACACTTTGGGCTCATTAGTACCAGCTGAGAACTGTGTCAACACCACAGCCTACCTGAGTATTGTTGCTGACCATGTCCATCCCTTAATGACCACAGTGTACCCATCTTCTGATGGCTACTTCCAGCAGGATAACGCACCATGTCATAAAGCCCGAATCACCTCAGACTGGTTTCTTTAACATGACAGTGAGACTGTACTCAAATGGCCTCCACAGTCCCCATCTCTCAACCCAATAGAGCACCTTTTGGGATGTGGTGGAACAGGAGATTCACATCATGGACGTGCAGCTGACAAATCTGCAGCAACTGTGTGATGCTGTCATCATGGACCAAAACCTCTGAGGAATATTTTCAGTATCTTGTTGAATCTATGCCACGAAGGATTAAGGCAGTTTTGAAGGCAAAAGGGGGTCCAACTCGGCACTAGTAAGGTATACCTAATAAAGTGGCCAGGGAGTATATATTTACATGGTTATTATGGGGTTTCAATTATTTAGAAAAATGTTTTTAAAAGATGGCATAATGTCAGTTAGTACTGCCACTAAATAAATATTATTTGAGAACAAAGTACAGTACTTGTAGTTCAGACAAGGCCAAACATATCAAACGTGCCAAAAGACTCTGTTGATACCCCTAAATAATTTATCTATCAATTTAAGCAGTGGAGAACCTTAAAATAAATACAATTACAGTTTGGCTTTCTCCGAGAGTCTGCAAGTGTTGTTTTATTGAGTTTAATTGCTAACCAGCAGCTATAATAGAATTATACTGAATATTAGTTTGGATAGAATTAATTGCCGGCATTAATGCCATTTTAAATAAGCAGTTTATGAAACATACATTTGTGCAATTGTACTTTATACTTTAAAACTTACTTGGAAAAAAATTGAGACTAATGTTAGTTAGCCAGGCTAAGCGGAACCCAATACACCGTGCTTTGTTTCTCGGGGAGTTGTTTCAGCGGTTGCACACAGTCATCGTGATAAACGCGTGTTTATGTTATGCTGAACTTCTTAAATTCCACGCTTCTGTAATCACCAAATATTTGAGTCTTAATACTAGAATATATACCCACACACCGCCGACATGAAGCTGTTAACACACAACATGTTGACCTCGCACGTTAAAGGTGTTACCAAAGGATACCCGCTCATTATCAAGGTGAGCTTTATATACAATTAATTTCATTATCTAAAAATAAGAAAGCAAACAGAACTATTTTATTTTGTAATGACCTTAATTTACGTACTGTTCTTGATTCTTAAATGTCTTACCCTCAAGTTTATATCATGTTTTTTATTCTTTTTTTCCTGTCTTTCTTTCTCGTATCTCTTTTTCATTGACAATGTAATTCATATTCTGCATTGGAAACAAATATTGTTACAAACTTGTCAACTGTTTTTTTTTTGCAAAAAACAGCTTGCATTTGCAGCTTGATGAAATGTTACAGTCACATAGTTTGACTGTATATAATAACTAAAATATTTAAATATGGGCGAAATAATATTACATTGTTATTTAACGTTACATACATTTATACCAAACTGTATAATAATGTGTAACATTATCACATGTGTAACGTGATGATAATGCTAAATGTTAACGTTACTGCGTTTTAATCTGATGGTTTGATGATAGAAATAAGTTAAGAAATGTACAGCTGTACCATGATCCTTAAATAAACCCACATAAAAAAATACCATAGTAATTACTATAGTGTTTTTGAACCATGATATAGTAAAGTACACTCACCGGCCACTTTATTAGGTACACCTTACTATTACCGCTTTGGACCCCTTTTGCCTTCAGAACTGCCTTAATCCTTCGGGGCATAGATTCAGCAAGGTTGAATCTCTGAGATTTTGGTCCATATTGACATGATATCATTTGTTGGCTACTCATCCATGATGAGAATCTCCCATACCAAAGGTGCTCTAATGGATTGAGATCTGCTGACTGTGGAGGCTATTTGACTACAGTGAACTCATTGTCATGTTCAAGAAACCAGTCTGGGATGATTCGCACTGTATGACATGGCGCGTTATGCTGCTGGAAGTAGCCATCAGAAAATGGCTACACTGTGGTCATAAAGGGATGGAGATGGTCAGAAACAATGCTCACGTAGGCTGTGGCGTCGACACGATGCTCTATTGGTACTAATGAGCCCAAAGTGTGCCAAGAAAGTATCCCCCACACCATTACACCACCACAGTCTGAATTGTTGAACCAAGGCAAGATGGAGCCATGCTTTCATGTTGTTGATGCCAAATTCTGACCCTACCATCCAAAGCAGAAATCGAGACTCATCAGACCAGACAATGTTTTTCCAATAGTCTTTTGTCCAATTTTGGTGAGCCTGTGCCAATTTTAGCCTCAGTTTCCTGTTTTTAGCTGACAGGAGTGGCATATTTTGTCTTTTTCAGACCATTCTCTGTAAACCCTTGAGATTGTTGTGCGTGAAAATCCCAGTAGATCAGCAGTTTCTGAAATTCTCAGATACTAGCTCGTCTGGCATCAACAACAATGCCACATTCAAAGTCACTTAAATCCCCTTTCTTCTCCATTCTGATGCCCGGTTTGAACTGCAGCAGATTGTCTTGACCATGTCTACATGCCTGAATGCACTGAGTTGCTGCCATGTGATTGGCTGATTAGAAGTTTGCGTAAACGAGCAGTTGGACAGGTGTACCTAATAAAGTGGTGGGTGAGTTTATATTATATAGTGTTTGCAGCATTTTGTTACAAATGATACAGCACACTGTAGTATTAGCTGTGGTGTATTGTACAATTTACTTGGTTGTAAACTAAGTATAGTTTAAGATCATTTGTTTCTATTGCTATAGTTGATAGATACTGTAAACTAGGGTTGTAACGGTATGAATTTTTCACGGTATGATAATAGTCTAAAACAATACCACGGTTTGACGGTTTCGCGGTATACGGTATGTTACAAATGTTACAAAATAATAGAACAGTGAAGCAAATTTGACTTTTTCCAAATAATATATTTTTAGTTACTATAAACAACACCACTTACAATGAACAAATAAAAATAAGAAAATAATAAATAATGTGTCAAAGTCCAAATAAAGTCCAAATAAACATGGTGCAAATCCTCAGTAAAAAAAATAGATATAAATATTTACTATACTATAAATAGTTACATAACGAAACTAGATTCAATATGGAACATCCTTAGGTTCTATGTGCCAGCATGGATTTGGATATGGTTGTCTGCAATGCAGACAAACAGCTGCACCTTCATTTGCGTCTTTTGAAAACAGCAAGAGCAGCAGTTCGTCTTTGCTGTGTCACTGTTTTGTCATGTTTCTGTGCTGCTGTGCATGCAAAAGTACTTAGTATGAGAATTATTTCATGCAAAACTTTTTTTTTTTGCGTTTTATTTAGCCGCGCATAAATGTATGCCTATCTCTCATTCCGTGTTGTTCAAAAAGCTCAGTGTTGGTCCACAAACAAAAGCGAAACCTATGCTTATTGGTTGTGATATAGCGAGTTTGAACCAATCTGGGCATGGAGGAGGGACAATGCATCAATGTATCATGTCTGATTTGTCCGGAGACACAGTGACGAGCGTTTCTTTGTCAAATCAGCGTTGTCAAATGTTGATGACGTAACCGCACTGATTCCGGAGCCTCTGAAAGTCCGAATGATATGTGATACAGCACTGGAAAGCTGAGATTCTCTTCTATATGCCAATCTTTGAATTGTATGAATCGGATCAGCGGATCAAAAGTTATTAAACATTTAAGAGCAATACTTATTTTTAGCCGCGGGCGGCTGTCTCGGTCTTTAAGGGTTAAAACCGTTGATATGCAATTGTTCATGGTATGATAATCGTGCACGTTCAAATCGTGGTAAACCGTCATACCGGTATATTGTTACAACCCTACTGTAAACTTCAACAGATTGTTTGATTATGGTTTAAAAACACCATAGTATTTTAACATGCTAGACTTTTAATGTGATTAAATGGTTATTGTTTGAAAATATGACTGATTAAATATATATAAACTATTTTTGCACTGAATTGTATTCTACTGGGTATTTTCAGTAATTCACTGTAAAAAAAAAAAAAAAAAGTATGATAGTCATAATTTTGTTTGCAAAAAGTATGCCTTTTTCAGAATAAACTACACAGTATATTAGGGCTGCACAATACTGGAAAAATTGGACATTGCATTTTTTTTTTTTCTGAAATATATATGCAATATAAATATAATGTAACCAGCATGCTTTATTTGGATAGAATGCGGGATGATAACTGATTTCAAGGTATACTGCAGTTTGGAAAAGTCAAGGTTTTAAAACCGCCAAAGGTTTCTGCTTTACCATTCCGAAGGTATGTGTACGATTTTTTGGACAATAGCAAAGAAGGGGCGAAGCAGTGGCGCAGTAGGTAGTGCTGTCGCCTCACAGCAAGAAGGTCGCTGGTTCGAGCCTCGGCTCAGTTGGCGTTTCTGTGTGGAGTTTGCATGTTCTCCCTGCGTTCGCGTGGGTTTTCTCCGGGTGCTCCGGTTTCCCCCACAGTTCAAACACATGCAGTACAGGTGAATTGGGTAAGCTAAATTGTCAGTACTGTATGAGTGTGTGTGTGGATGTTTCCCAGGGATAGGTTGCGGCTGGAAGGGCATCCGCTGCGTAAAAACTTGCTGGATAAGTTGGCGGTTCATTCCGCTGTGGCGACCCCGGATTAATAAAGGGATTAAGCCGACAAGAAAATGAATGAAATTGTAAAGAAATCTGTGTTTTTGAAACAAATGAAGACAGCAGAAGTCAATAATTCATTTGAATTATTTAGCTGACATGTTTACTGCTCCAAAATATTATAAATGTTTCTCAAAATAAAATATATTGTGTTCAAAGGGGTAAAAAGTTAAGTTTTTTAGCCAGACATATAAAAATAATATATTGTAGAGCAGAAATTGCAATACAATGAAACCGGGATCTTTTTATCCAAGCCTATCATACCGTCAGAATCTTATACCAGCCCATGCCTATACCTTAATTTGGGTTTATTTAGATGATTCTGTACGGGATTAAATCATTTTGCATTAAAATGCAAAATACTAAATATATTTCAAGCATTGATAAACACATCAGAGCAATGATAAAAAAACAGTGCTTTACAGTCTTTACAGTATTTAGGTACAAAAATTGAGTATGCAAATGTAAAGTAACACTATAGTCTTCATCATATTAATAATTCTGTCAAATGAATATTTATTCAGTGTCATGCAGTTTCTTGTGCCTTAAAACTTTAAGCTCTTCCGAAATTCATATCGATGTGAATATTGCGAATGCCCTCATTGCTATATTGATGCTGAAACAATATATTGTGCAGTCCTACAGTAAACACTAATGAACAGTCTGATATTTAAAGTATTTTCAGTTTGTTTTGATGCTTGAAACCCCTGTTCCACGTTGATCCACATCCACATGCATGCAGTTAAATCAAGCTTTTAAATGACACGTCTTGACTCTCTTTCTTTGATCGTGAATGAAGGCAACAGAAGTGAAAGTGAACGAGTTGGACTTCAATGCTCAGTTTGTGAGTCGAATGATTCCCAAGCTGGAATGGCCTGCTTTGGTCCAGGCAGCAGAATGGGTGAGTGGAGATGCTGTTTTATGGCATTTTTAATTTGTCATTCTGAATGACCGCCTAGTAAGTAGACTGTGTTGGAATGTGGGTTACTGATGAGTTGTTGTCTTTTTATATCAGCTTGGTCAGTCTCAAGAACTGCCCGACACGCTCATACCCGACTATGAGAATGATGAGGAGTTCCTACGCAAAGTTCACAGAGTTCTTCTTGAGGTGAGACACATTAAATAGTAAAAATAGCAAATTCTAACTTGATTTCCTAAATTAAACCCGCATTTGGGCTAGACGATGCCATCGTCCATCGCCGATGGTCAATAGACAACACGATGCTGAGCCGGCATCGCTCGTGAAACATACACACTCAGGCCCCGTTTACACTAATACATCTTAGTGTTAAAATGGCATTTTAGAACAAAAATGATTCTAGTTTTACCTAGCATTTCTGAACAGCCCTCCGTCCGCTGAAAACGCACATCACGTGACCACACACAGACATAGCCACACACTGTCATGCGCTCCTCTGGGCTCCAGAGAGCAGTGCACGTCCGACAGTTTATCAAGGATATACAGCTGGATCGCATGTCACTATAGTTGTTAAACGTAATATTCAGACATCCCAAGTCTCCCGGAAGTTCCGGGAGTCTCTATGCATTTGCAGTCGCAAACGAGTAATAATGTCCCGGAAATCGCGCGTCTCCCTCCCGGTCCTCAAATAAGTCGCGCACCCTTCTCACCCACGGATCCCTCCTCGCTCTTCAGACACGTCACGCGCACTCTGTCAACCCCCCCCCCCCCATATTCTGCACAGAAATAGTAAAAGCTGTCAGCAGATTCTGTCGACTTTTCAGAAATAAAATGTATGCTTATTCAGTCAGGAAGGCCCCGTTTACACTAGTGCGTTTTAGTTTTAAAACGGCGTTGTAGAATGAAAACGATCCGCGTCCACACTCGCGTTTTACCCAGCGTTTCTGAACAGCTCTCCGTCCACACCAAAACGCTGAAAACGCACATCACGTGACCACACACACACTCTCGGGCAAGCGCTCCAGCATTTCTACCCAGATGAGAGCTCTGCTTGTCGGACTGCTCATCACGCATCTCCCGCTGGATCTAATCTCACTATATTTGCTAAACGTGATATTTCATTCATGTTGTTGTCTTTATCTGACGACATAGGCCAATTCCCTGACTTTGGTCATTGGAATCTATTAAGTTACTTGTTCACGGGTAACATGTTTTGGTTAAGCGCAAAGATAAGTTAATGATTAATCCAGGTACATTGACTGATTGCTCGTCTTTATTTCCTACAATGTATAAACTTATTGTATGTTATACTTTTATAATTATCGATTATTAAAACTGATATTCAGCAAAAGAGAAGGTGCGTTTCGTATTTTCACTGAAATTGAAAGGAGGCAGTTTTGTTATAAATATCCACACAGTGAAGATGACGCTCATATATGCAGCACGGCGCCTCAACATTTCTGCTGTCTGTTAAGTTGCTAATATTAAAATGAAAATAGGCAGTTCCTTATATCATGTTTACATTTTATTGTTGAGAAAGTGAAACAACGTAGCCAGGGTGATGTGAATGAAGTTATAAAGTACACTGTTCCCTTTGAAGATTTACCCGTGTCCTCGGTATGTTTTCCATATCAAACTGAGAAGGGGGAGACTGCAGCCTTGATCAACCTTGCGAAGTCTGAACTTACAAGAAGAGGATGCGAGACTGAACTGTGTGTGGGCTACTTAATATTGAGGAAAAGCCCCAATCAGATAGGCGAACGTTTGCAGCCCCGCCTCCGTTTTCAGATGTCTCCGTCTTTCCCCATCCACACTGAGACGGAGCGGCAGCGTTTCAAAATGAAAACGGCCTCTCCAGCGTTTTCGAAACGCTCCGTTTTCGGCGCTCGAGAACTCCGGCGTAGTGTGGACAAATGGCGTAACCGTAGCAAAACTTATGCGTTTTCAAACTAAAACACACTAGTGTAAACGGGGCCTAAATTTAACAGTGTTTATAAACTGAAGAACAACTAGTTTACAGTCGTCTTGACTCAAGGTCAAAATGAGAGTCCTCTATATAATGGACAGTGATTTATGATGAACAGTATAGCTTTGAAGCATACTACAATATTTTGAACATCCTAGTTTTAATCGAAATCGAGACCCCCGCCAAATAAAAACAATTTGCACCCACCCCACCTCCCGCACACTTCTAACGACACATATACAACAGTAGTTAAATGCGTTTATCTAAGATCCATTATAAAAGTGTAAAAAAAAAATTGCATTTAAAAGATTGACCCACAGGAAGGGACGTTCCCAATTTATTAGCCGCTGGAACCACAAAAACCCAAAATATTGTTCAGTTCTTTAAACACCCCCAACCAACCAGAACCTCTGTATTAAAACCATCAAATCATCGAAAAATAAAAAAATAAAAAATGTAATGCATGATTAATTTGACAAATCTAAATACTTTTTTGGTCCCACTTTATATTAAGTGTCCTTAACTACTATGTACTTGAATCAAAAAATAAATACAATGTAGTTACTGTGTTCCTAATGTATTTGAGAACACTTGAGTTGGGATAGGGGTTGGGTTATGGACATGTTTGGTGGTGAGGGTAGGTTTAAGGGTGGGTTAAGGTGTAGGGAATGGTCAGCAGCGTATTTACAAATGTAGTTACAGAAGTTAGTTACAGATGTAATTACATACCGGTATTTAATCAAGCATAAGTACTCAATAAATACATGTATTTACACAATAAGTACAATGTAACAAACTATTAATTCCTGTGTAAGTACATATTAGTTAAGGCCACTTAATATAAAGTGGGAACACTTTTTTTATTTACATGTTCAATTTAAAGACTAATTGCTCAAAACAACTCTTTAAAATAAACCCTTTGCTAGCTTTACAATGAAATGCCATCATCACCTACTTTTTATTTGTGTGATCTGTAAAAGTAGATTTGAGCTTTTTTTCTTGTGCTGTGTATTGTGCTGGACACACACCCCATTTTCACATTAGGATTTGATATCATAGTGATATAGTATATCATACTTATAAGCGTCGTCTTCTCCTCAGGTGGAGGTTATAGAGGGATGTTTACAGTGTCCTGAATCTGGCCGAGAGTTTCCCATCTCTAAAGGCGTTCCCAACATGTTACTCAACGAAGGAGAGTAGATTAAGATGTTACACTTATTCTGCAAAGACAAGATCCATACTCTGTATTGACCCCAGATGTTTTGTGTAGACATTTGTGCTACTGCTTTCTTCAAAGAAGAAACACAATTCACAAGTTATTCGGAAATACTCTGGAAATAGCAGTTTCATTTACTGTCTTCATGTTGCTATGAAAATTGATATAGTTTTTTTCTGTCATTGTTTGTTGTGCTTTGTAAAATATATCAAATAAATTTGTATTGATTGAAGTTATGTTCGGTTCAATTCTTTTTATATTTACACATCACTCATTGTAATGAATTTCACAATTAAATGTCCTATTGGTAAATGTGAGCAAAGAAAACTTCAAATTAATGTTTATTATTTGTGAGATTTTCCCACTTTAAAATGCTTTTATTTATGGTTATGATTTATGCTCCTTTTTAAATAAAATATGTTTACAGCCACCTTTTCTCATTTCAATTTAAAGGTGATATTTAGTATATTTATTGTCCATTTAGAATGTCTGATCATGTATGTATCATAAAGTGTCCTTTAATGCAGTGGTTTTTAAAGTGGGGGTCACGAGACAATGAGGGGGGGGTCGCTTGGTGATTTCCAAATATCTCATAGTTTATTAAACTATTAGAATTATCACATCTAATTAATTATCATATTTTATTTGTGATCCCTGGGGTTAATATGCTTGATTAACATCACAGCAATAGCGTGAGTGGCAGCAGATTGATTTTGCAGTACAATATTAAACTTTGACACCTTTGTGGCACTCGCATACATTAAAAAATAAGGCCACGACTGAACAAAGAGGATGATCTCCAAGTGGCTTAAAGTCTCCAATATTAAACCAAGAATAGTTTTGCGCTATAAACATTGTGCTCACCATTCTTATTAAGTGAGGTTAATATCAAATTAAACAAATGAATAATGATTATAAAAAAGATATGGTTGTAAGACTGTTGCACTTTTTTGTGTTGACAATAAGCTTCTGTTTATATTGTTCCTATTGGTGTGTGTGTGTGCACCATTGTGTGCAATATTTGTTTGCTTATCTAGGCCCACACGGGATCTGCGCGCGCAGAATTCCGCAGATTTATGCAGATTTTAAGCCCATTATTTATTCTGTTTATTTACTTGAGTAAATGTGTAAATCTGAATTTATTCAGTTTTTATTCAGAAGTTATTACTTTTTATTTAATATATTAAGGAGTAAGTTGTGATACTCCGCTTGATACTCCCAAAATAATTCCGCAGAAATCCGCAGATTTTTACTAAAATTCTCAGCAGAAATAGCAAAAAAACGTCCGCAGATTCCGTCTGGCCCTGCTTATAACCACCTCCGAGCATAGTGGGGGTCACAAGTCACTGGAGTTGTTATTTTAGGGGCGCGAGCTGAAAAGTTTGAGTACCCCTGCTATAATGTAAAGTGTCATTTAATGTATGTGTGCTTACTACACTGTAAACAATGCAGGGTTCTACACAATTCATTCATGTTGTCCCAACACAAATTAAGATAACTAAACTTTAAATGGATCAAACAAAAAACTGTTTTCCCAAAAAAACTTAAGTATTGTGTTGTTCCAGCTCATTTCAGATTAGTTTGAACAAGCTGTAAAATCTTTTTTTCAATGTATCAAGCATATAAACGTTGCATAATTCTATGCAATAACCCAAAACCTAATGTTAAAGAGTTAATTTTCCCAAAAAGTCCACGTGACTTCAGTTGTTCAACTGTAATCATATGAAGCTCCATGAACATTTTACGCACACATTGATTATTAATACGACTCTGTACTTGAATATATAATTACACTGTGAAAAATGCTGGGTTCCACACAATCTATTAGTGTTAGAACATGAAGAAATTAAGTTAACTTAATAGTTTTTACAATTTTAAGTGGTTATAATTGTGTTGTTTTAGGTCGTTTTAAATAAGTAGTTCTTATGAACATATTCTTAAGTGTATTGTGGACACTAAAAATGTGTAACCAAGTATTCTGCTGTTTTAAGTTTAAGTATGTTTTAGACATCTGAAATATCACTAATCAGATTGTTAGATTTTTATATAAGCTTTACATTTTTTATAAGATTGTTTTTTCTATATATGTTCCATGAAATAATTTATTTGAATGTCATATAGGGGTTATGGTAGTCATTTAGCGCTTGGTATAATCTTTGTACCACAGAGCAACCACAGGTTAATGAAACCTCCTCATCACCTGTCATTATATTCTCCAGTGTAAGCTTTCTCTTAACTGTAGTGTGTTTGTCTGAAATGATCTAGGTCAGTTTTTGAGTAACTTTCTTGAAACAAACTCTTCCAAAGACCTTTCATGTCACACAGAAAGTCCAGAGAGGAAGATGACGTGGCAAGGCAAGAGACTATATTTAGTTTAAGGGAGGTTACGAGGGGGGGGGACTGGATAAGCTGTTTTTGAGTTCTGTATAGTTGACCAAAAAATGAAAATGTACTCACTATTTACTCACCCTTAAGTGATTTAAATTTCTTTTCAAAGGAAGATATGAAGAAAGCTGAAAGCTAGTTTGATATCCACCGTTTGATGTTGTTTAGTTTTTTTCTGTGTATTTTATATTCAGTTTAAAAGAAGATAGAAACTCGGACAGGTTTGGAACAAGTGAAGGGTGAGTAAATAATGACAGAAATGTAATTCTTGTGTTTGAAGTATCCCTTTAAATCTTAATTCGCAATACCTCGACGAACCACCAGAGCGGCCCCGAGGCCTTTCCCTCGTCCGCGGCCGCGCGATGGCGCTCGAGGCTCCGCATCCACGTCACGATTTCTCCTGCTCAGAATCATATAAAAAAAATCTAACGCTTCATGTTTGAACAGGAAGAAATCCGTACTTTCGGAATGATATCAGCCCTTGAAAAATTCCAGCCCTCTGGTGTCTCCTTTTGGTTCAAATCTCATTTCTCTGAGGCTTTTGGTGTCTTGTACCTTCTGCCTTTGCTTGAAGTTCAATTACAGCCCTCTTGGCCAAACTATAATAATGTCATAATGGAGAGGTGGAGAGAGAGCAGCTATAAAGCTGTTTTTGAAAGATTAACGATCATGTAGATGGTGAACTGTAATTAACAATGAGAAGAAAGATAGGGAGTGGAAGTGAAATAAGGAAGGGTGTACCTAAAATGAAAGGATGGGAACGCTTAGATTGAGGCCTTGGATATCTATCATTTCTCTCCAGGAAGCTAAATGAAAGGTGAAATTAATATCCGAGTAAATCTATTCTAAATGTGTCCGGTGGGTCTTTTATGAAATGGCTCTGTTAAATGCATGAGGGAGAACTACTGGATTAGAAAAACACATTGTATTATTTCCAATTTAAACAAATTAGGAAGCAGTCAGTCAGTAGTTTCAGCCTGCTGTGGTGGATGTTTCACTGCTTGTGAAGATTTTTGTTGAATATCAGACTGCTGCTTGGAAACACCGCTGCCAAGGAAAGACTCCAGAAAACTGTCAGCATTGTTATGCAATGATGGTGTCTGGAAAAGACAGTCTGTGAGAAATACTGACATAGCGTTGACTGGAAAGCTGCTAAATTGGCGTCTGCAGCTTTGTTTTGGTCAGTTTTTATAACAACCTTACCAAATGTCATTGCTTTATGTGATTGTTTTAGAGTTTATAATATTTAGTAAGTTCAGTTAAAGCAATAGTTCACCCAAAAAATGAAGTCACACTAAAATGGTTTCAAAGCATTTTTCTGTTGAACACAAAAGTAGATATTTTGAAAAATGTTGGAAAACGGAAGCTGTCGACTTCCATTGTTACTGTTTATTTAAAATATCTTCTTTTGTGACCAACAAAAACATAAACTAGATTTTTAACAAGTGGAGAATGAGCAACCAATTTATCACATAATTTTCATTTTGGGAGAACAATCCCAAAAGTCACAAAAGTCATTGTCACAGTTAATGCCAAAGTATTTAAATGCATTATACAAATGGAAAATGAAAAAATAACTACAGCATTTCTAAAAGGATTTTAAGTTTCTGAATAGGTTATATAACTCCAGAAAAATATAAAGGCTAAACTTCTTAGAACAGAAATTGTTTATTCATTATAGGTTTTGAATATTTAATACATTTTATATATTCATATTTTAATATGTTCAATTGATCTGGGGTGCGTTTCTGAAATCCATCATTAGCCAACTAAGGTCCCAAGTTCTGTCGTTACAAACATAGTTTGTTAATTTGGCATTTTCCAAATCTATCATTCCATTGAACATTCGCAAACTGCGTCGCAAACTTGTATTCTTGCATCTACACCTCTAGAGCTGTAGTTGGAAACATAGTTCCTGGCTGTGTTCTATTCCCAGTTATCCCCCCTATGCCCTATTCATTTAGAACATTCTAACATTTAAACTTGGAATTATTGTATATGTATATGTACTAACAGAAATGTATGTATGTATTTACTTTAAAAATGCCGTACTTTTTCAAATGCAACTTTAAAATACAGTAACTTACTGCATAACTGTTCTACAGTAAAATACAGTTACAGTTAAATACTGTGCAATTTACAAACATTATTAGCAATCTAGCTCTCCAAAATTGCCTGCCCTTGTAATGATTTAGGTTAAAAACGGAGTCAAAAAATCAAACATACTTTGAATATTTAAGATAGACAACTTAAATATTTGTATATTTTAAGATTAATTAAATCTAAAGAAATGTTATTGATTATTTAGAGTTTCTTAAAAGGATAGTTCACACGAATATGACGTTTCTGTCATCATTAACTCTTTTGTTGAACACAAAGGAAGATATACTAAAGAATTTAGAGGACAAAAACAACAACCATTGACTTCTATAGTATGTGAACCATGGGTGAAGGATGTTTCAATTTACCTTGCGGACACAAGGTTTGTATGAGCGGCATGGTGGCTCAGTGGTTAGCACTGTTGCCTTAAAGGCCGTGGGCCAGTTGGGTTTTCTGTGTGGAGTTTGCATACTTTTGTAAAAACATATGCTGGAATAGTTGGTGGTTCATTCCGCTGAGGCGACGTCTATAATAATATATAAGGGATTAAGCCGAAGAAAAATGAATGAATGACACAAGGTTTGTTTACCAAATCAAAGTTATTGATGCGGATTCAAGAAAATGAAAACCACAAAACAGGGGCGTTTCCCAAACAACAGTGTAACTCGCGGCTGAACTATCATAGCACGATGCATCATTTGGGAAAAGAACGATGTAGTGACGAGTGTTTCCCAAAAAAACGTAGTTTCTCTGTCGCAGATCCATCATTTGAACCACATTAGTTATAGCGTAAAACGCCCGTAATGATGCTTTAAAGGGGGTAGTAAAAACTTCTTTAGAGAAGAACCCCATCATTTCTTTGTGCAAATTATTTTGTTTTACACACACATGCATTAAAAAAAAATCTGATATACATTGTATGCTCCAATAAGAATAATATGCAAAGAAGCATAATAGGAACCCTTTAAATGTGCCATAGATTGAAAAGCTGTGTAAACCATGTCTCAGCTTGATAATAGCCCCTTTCACACAGTGATACCGGTAAATATCCGGAAAATTTCCGGAACGACTTTACCGGTATATTGAAAAAAGCGCTGTTCACACAGGCGAGGACGTTACGGAAATTTTCCGGAAAAGAGCATTCACACATCCATTCCAAAATACCGGTAAATTCTGACATCATTCACCACAAATGAGCTTTAAACGGCTGCGCTTGTATTTGTAAACATTTGACTAAATTACAAACTCTGTGGATGATCAATATTGTGAACAACTTTCGCAGGATCACTTTCGCATGTCGAGATGTTCATAATATGTGCGTGTGCAGGCGCTCACAGGCTGTTTCACAGGCACACGCAAAGCTTGAAGGTAAACAAACAACGGCTTATCATAAGCATCTCATCGATGATTATTTACACAGTTGGCATTAAGAAGAACATATAAACGTGACCTGACTAACTTTTAGCAGCTAAATGTGTCTGGAAAAATATTCAAAGGCTTTTATTCTCATAAACCGCGCGGACGTAAATGCGTCTGACTGTTGTGATTGGCTAAAGCAGACGTCTCACGTCAGCACGTTCTAGACGTGCACGCGCTTATTACTGGAATCTTCCTTCTGCATTCACACAGCGCAGCATTCCGGCAAATTGCCGGTAATGTTACAACTTCTCTTACCGGAAAATAGCCAGAACGAATTTACCGGTATTTTCAAAAAGCACCTGTTCACACATACCACCTTTCCGGAAAATTGCCGGTAATTTTCCGGAAAGGTCTGTATGTGTGAAAGGGGCTTATACCATGTCTCAGCTTGATAATAGCCCCTTTCACACAGTGATACCGGTAAATATCTAGAAAATATCCGGAACGACTTTACCGGTATATTGAAAAAAAGCGCTGTTCACACAGGCGAGGACGTTACGGAAATTTTCCGGAAAAGAGCATTCACACATCCATTCCAAAATACCGGTAAATTCTGACATCATTCACCACAAATGAGCTTTAAACGGCTGCGCTTGTATTTGCAAACATTTGACTAAATTACAAACTCTGTGGATGATCAATATTGTGAACAACTTTCTCAGGATCACTTTCGCATGTCGAGATGTTCATAATATGTGCGTGTGCTGACACTCACAGGCTGTTCCACAGGCACACGCAAAGCTTGAAGGTAAACAAACAACGGCTTATCATAAGCATCTCATCGATGATTATTTACACAGTTGGCATTAAGAAGAACATATAAACGTGACCTGACTAACTTCTAGCAGCTAAATGTGTCTGGAAAAATATTCAAAAGCTTTTATTCTCACAAACCGCGCGAACGTAAATGCGTCTGACTGTTGTGATTGGCTAAAGCAGAAGTCTCACGTCAGCACGTTCTAGACGTGCACGCGCTTATTACTGGAATCTTCCTTCTGCATTCACACAGTGCAGCATTCCGGCAAATTGCCGGTAATGTTACAACTTCTTTTTCCGGAAAAAGCCAGAACGAATTTACCGGTATTTTCAAAAAGGACCTGTTCACACATACAACCTTTCTGGAAAATTGCCGGCAATAAGAGTTCATTCATTCATTTTCTTTTATGCTTAGTCCCTTTATTAATCAGGGGTTGCCACAGTAAAATAAAAAATTAAAGTAGTGATTTCTAAATTTACTTTAACTTGTACTTCATTGCAGATAATACAACAAACATTTTTTTCTTTCAAACAACTTTGGTTCTTGCAAAAAATGTTTTTAAAAAAGTTGGAACAGTAAAGCATTTACCACCTTATGGTTCCATTCCTTTTCACAACACTTGATGTTAAACATGTTCAGGGGACTAAAGACACCAAGTGATGGAGTGTTTAGGTGTAATTTCGTTTCATTCTTCCTGCAAATAAGTCTTAAGGTGGGCAACGGTACAGGGTCTTAGTTGTCGCATTTTGCAATTAAAAAAAATCTTATTCCGAAGCACACAGAATCCATTTATCCCAAAAAATACCTGAAATACTGAGTGATCTGACCACAGTACATGTTTCCATTGTGTGATGGTCCAACCCAGATGCCTCCAACGACACAATTGGACACTTAACATAGGGCTTCCTTTTGGCACAGTACAGTTTTAACTGGCATTTGTGAATGCAACTACGTGTTCTGCTACCTGACAAAGGTTTGCCAAAGTGGTCCTAAGCCCATGTGGTGAAATCGCTTATAGATGAATCAGGATTTTTGATGCAGTGCTGCCTGAGGGATCGGAGATCACGATAGTTCTTTGAGAAACATTGTTTTTAAACATTTCAATAATTTTATCACGTACTTGTTGGCAAACTGGCAATCCTCAGCCCATCTTTGCTCCTAAAGGACTAGACCAGGGGTGGCCAACCCTGTTCCTGGAGAGCCACCTTCCTGCAGATTTCAGTTGCAACCCATATCAAACACACCTGCCTGAAATTATCACGTGGTGTTCAGGTCCTAATTAATTGGTTCAGGTGTGTTTGATATGGGTTGCAACTGAAATCTGCTGGAAGGTGTGTCTCCAGGAACAGGGTTGGCCAGCCCTGGACTAGATCTTTCTTGGATGCTGTTTTTGTACCAAATCATAATCACCTGTTGACATCACCTGTTTCAAATCACATTATTATTTAACTTATTTACCTGATTACTAGCCCTAAACTTCTCATGTCACAACTTTTTTGTATGTTTTGCAGGTCTAAATGACAGGAAAGTATGTATATTTACAAATGAAATAAAGTTGACCAGACAAAACATGACATATTTTGTGTTCATATTGTCTGCAATGAAATACAAGTCAAAGTAAATTTGGAAAGCACTACTGTCTTTTTTTAGTTCAGTTTTTTATACTGTCCCAACTTTTTCTGATGTGGTGTTGTACATTCTATATAGTATGAATGAGTAGTATGAATGGGAATTGGATGTACTACATTCGCCATTTGTCATTATGACCTTCCTGTATCTACGCCAGTTGAATCGATTTACTCCCATTCATGACCTCTCTCACATGGCATCATAGTATAGCATACTGTTTTTCAAATACTATGAATTCAGACTTCCTATTCAACTCGCATGCAGTTTTAATGTACTAATTAGTTCACTGGAAAAACTGGATTTAAATTGAATCAACTCGAAAAGCTCTGCAGCATGTTGCCTTACAGTTTTAAGTTGAGTCAATTGTAAGTTTTTTGAAAAGACCCTCACTTTTTGGTCTTAGGGCGGCCTCACTCATTATTTTTTCATAGGGCCTAAAACGGCTGAAGGCGCCCCTGGCCATGCATGACTAAGGAGGGTTTGGTCAGAACGCAAAATGTACCATATAAAAATGTATTCAGTACCACCTAAAAAGGCATAAGATAAATGTGTAAACGTATTTCTTTGGATTACTTTAACATGTATATTGGGAAATTGTCTAAGTGTGGTTTGTAAGGAGTCAACAGACACTTAGTATATGCATTTAATGCATGTTTATGCATCGTGTCACATCACTAGGCCCACACAGAATCTGCGCATGCAGAATTCCGCAGACTTTTAGCCCATCATTAATTCTGTTTATTTACTTGAGTAAATGTGTGTGTAATGAAGTTCACGGCCCCTTTGGCCACCGGCAAGAAGGAGGCGGAGAACCGACGCAGTTTTAAAATATTTATTAATAACAGTGACAACCAAAACAAACGGACAGCAGCTCCTCACGGAGACTGCCGTCAAACTGAAAGCAAAAGTAAAATATGTCCGGGCCCGGTCCTCTCTCGCCTCCCTCTGCCATTGTTCCTCCTTTTATCGTCCAGAGCTCCTTCCATGGGATCCGAGGCAGGTGCGCACCGCAGGTGTATCCACTTACGCGATGGCCTCACTCCGTTCCCACGGCTCTCGGCCACGCCCCTTTCGCCACAGTGTGTAAATCTATATTTATTAAATTTTTAAATTACAGAAATTTTATTGACTAATATGAAAATGTTCATCTGATTTATTTGCAATGCAGTCTGTAAAGTAATATGTTCTGTCTTTTAGTAGAGATATTGTATGAGAGACTTACTTTATATAAAAATAAAGAGAATCTAATTGGATTTGCATTTTAAACATTAAATAAAAGTAAGAAATATATTATTTTTATTTCACGTATTAAGGTTTTAGTTTTGATACTCCCACAATAACGTTCGCATATTCCATCTGGCCCTACATATCATCAGATCTGAGTGTAGTGAAGGTATGCTAGTAAGTTTCATAAGACTTTTTGACATGGTTATGCAGAGGCTGACATTAGTTTCTGCTGTGTTTTCATATAGATTCAAATATCAAAATGCAACTCTAAATACATCTCTGTTGGTCAGTTTTGACAAGTTTAATTAACATTTAGCCATAACACGATTCAGGAGAAGCAAACTAAGTTACTGTAGTGGCATAAAGATAACTCACTCCTTCTAGCTAAAATAAACCACTATTTTAATTAAAAAGATTGTCATTTAGCAAGAAATACTTCATTTGTTTTAAAAACAACTGACAACCAAAGGAAGCTTGGGATATAAAGTTAGTCCTACATGCAATGTTTTAAGCACAAAACCCTGATCATGTCTCGCAATGCAACATCTGAACAACGTTTTAAGGTGTGAAACCATAATAATTTTGAATGCTTGAAATTTAGGCTATCTTGGAGATTATGTTTTGTCCTTAGCACTTGCCTCTTTTTGTCCTTCCCTCTCTCCCTCCCTTCCTCTCGCTCTCCCACACACAGCTGCTGTTTTCTTCCTCCTCTCCAAACTTTAGGAACTTGTTTTGTTGAAGAGATGTTTCTGGTCGCTCTGAAACTCAAAGGAGTTTTTCTTTTTAATTATAGCATACTTAAGTTCACACCTTCAAAGGCTCTCTTTGACGTCTGGCGTTTTTGGCCTTGTCATTTTTTCCCCTGCCTCCTTTGAAATGGATTACTCTTCGCACAAGATGTATTCTGGTATAGGCCAAGCCTAGACTAGCCTTTTCTCATCTTGTTTATATTAAATCCCGTTCAACTCTATGCCGCTGGAGGACAGTCAGTCTTTGTCATGGGATAATTTCATTTTCCTAAAGCAACTTCAAGAGCTTGATTGAACATTTGGATGGCAGACCTGCATCTTGACTCAAGGCAGAAAAAAAAAAAAAGAAATAAAATCTGACCTGATCTCTTATAGCTATCATGGGAAAGGAGCTGGAGAGTCACTTTGAAAGAAAGTACTAGCGGTCCTCACTAAAGCTCCAAGACAAACCACAAGAATTCTAAGCAGCACTTGGAGTTTCTCTCTGAATCATTGGATACCAGACGAGCATGAGGAACAGTTCTGTTTATTATCTTACCGGTAAATACTTAAAAGCCGGGGAAGCATAATGGAAAGGCTGTGTTTGTAGATTCAGATTAGTATTACTGGGATTGGATAATCATGGACTATATTATGCTTGCCATCACCACATGCACAGAAATCAGAATAACATCTAAAATTGGCATAACCTCAGATAGTTCATGCCAGGTGTAAATTACAGAGGATTTTGTTTACAGTTTAGACCATTAAAAGGGGAAAACGAACGGTTGTGGATCTTACTAAACTGTTTTAATTCAAATACATTATTTTTTGTGTTATCTTTACATTTTGGCGATACCAAAGTTTATCTTTATCATCCAAAAAGACGCTTAAAAAGGAAAATATTTGCCACTGAGGAGGTTACTATAGTAAACTAAAGTTTTAGCGACAACATAATTAGACACTTGTCTCACGACACAACGAGTATACAAACACTTATAAAAGCTGCATGTTGAAAATCGTGTCGTGGTTTACTGAAAGCCACGTCAAAATAATTGAAGTTACGTAAGTCCTACCTTAAAAGATTGCGCTTTGAATATTACCTTCAGGAAAGAAAGAAAAACCGATTAACTTAAAATAGCTTGTCATTAACACAGTGAGGTGCTTTGCGCAACCATCTTTTTATTATTCTGACCATAAGTAGTCTGTATGAGTGTAGGAAAACAAGTGTGTGAGAAGGTAAAAGCGCGTATCTGACAGCAGAGCTGCTCATTCACCTGGTGCACGCGGACGCGAGCAGCGCAGCCACGCACTTTGGGGTTTGTTCCATTGCTCAGTGCGCGCGCTCCCCGAAGACAACCCGGCGTTACATAGCTGCGCACCCGAGCCTCTCAGCTGTCAACCGACCATGTGGTTCATCAATCTGACTTTGCTCGTTCTCAAACTCTTTGCGTCTGCGGAAGGATTCTCCACGTGCCATTCCTACAACTTAGACGACCACAAGTCCAAAAGGATCGAGGCTGTGCGCGGGCAGATTTTGAGCAAGCTGCGCATTCGGAGTCCACCGGATCCCGAGGCGAGCCCGACACCGCAGCCTGTCCCGGCGGAGGTGATGCTGCTTTATAACAGCACGAAGGAGCTGCTGAAGGAGCGCGCGCGCCATGCGGAGGCCGCGTGCGAGCGGGAGAGCAGCGAGGAGGATTATTACGCCAAAGAGGTGCAGAGGGTCAACATGATGCCGCTGCGCACTGATACCAGTGAGTGATGATGCTGATGCCCACTTTAATGCTTGCATCATTCAAAGTAATGCGTGTGTGTGTATGAAAACCATTTATTGAAATGATTACTGTTGGGGATATTTTCATCCACTCTAGGGTGATTTTAGGTCTTAATTGGAAAAATCTGTTAATTAACCTTAGTCCTGATCAAAACTACTAAATTGGTTAGAAAATTTCAGGATTTATATCCCTTTAATTGCCAAATTAATAAATTATGTCACAAAATTACACATTTTCAATATAAAAAGTAATTGTGGACTGGATTTTTTTTGCTTTTTACCTATACGTCTTAGACATGCAAAACAACATTGCCTTTAATGCATTGTTTTTGACCCATTGACTTTCATTATAATCACATTTTTATGATTACAAAAACCATGACTCCATGTAATCATGCATTTTTAAGTGTTGGTGGTTTTCCCTGTTGGGAAGAGGTAAAATTAGTATTTTTTACTGTTAATCATCAGTTGGCACCATTAATAGTTAATAGTTGGTTTTGTTTTTGGATTTATGGAGCATAACAGCAAATCAAAGTGTGTGTGTGTGTGTGTGTGTGTGTGTGTGTGTGTGTGTGTGTGTGTGTGTGTGTGTGTGTGTGTGTGTGTGTGTGTGTGTGTGAGTGAGAGTGACTTTTGTGCACTTACCTTGAAGTTTCTGAGAAAATCTAAATCTGCATCTCAGCTCTCAGAACTACAAGGAGTAAATAAAAACAAAGACTGTGTTTTTATGCATCATCAAATGAGGTTATAATGAAAGTAAAAGGAGCAAAAATAGCCACCAACAGTAAATTAGGGAGAAAAATTTGAAATCCAACAATGCATCAAAGCCAATGTTGTTACTAATCATTGACATATTCAAGATAAAAGGTAAAAAAAAATTGTCCACAATTACCTTTTTATATTGAAATTATATGTCATTTTGTTTTCACCAAACTTTATCAATTAAAGAGTTAAAATCATGTTATTTTCTAAGCAAATTAGTAGTTTTGATAAAATGTATATATATATATATATATATATGAATGAGATGTTTTCAATCTGAACATAACAAAAGGGTAGTAAATTTGAACAGTGCACAAGGGTTAAGATATTTATATTTTACTCAGTACATGTTCATATTAAACTCTAAACATGAACATAGCCTAACACTGGTAGTGGCATGAATTATTTGACAAATATTGTTTCTTATGACCGTTATTAAGATTTACATTCAGCAATAACTGATATACACAGCTAAATTTCTTCAATATTAACTGCATGATTATTAAATAACAATGACAACAATTATAAACCATGAATTATTCTCAAGTTTTTTTTCTAAATTTTCTTCTTATTTAACAAATAATAAAGGTATTTTTACTTTTGTTTTTAATGTACAAGATTAATTTATAGTCAAAATAACTTTGATGCTTTTTTTAAAGCAAATTTTGTACCTTAAAAAGGAAATTATGTATTGTAAATGATGTATTAAGTATAGAATATTGACCAATTTACACATAGAATTAAGCTGTTTGTATTATGGCAAAAATACAACTGTTATGCAGCATTTTGATAAACGTATTTCTGCATAGATCAATATATTTCATATAATAATAATACAATAATTTTTAATGATGGAAATTCTAAAAAGGTAATTTACAATATATATATATATATATATATATATATATATATATATATATATATATATATATATATATATATATATATATAATATTAGACTATTTGTGAGACTGAAGACTAGAGTTATGAGTAGGCACGGAATCTGCGCGTGACCTCTGCTGGTTTTTAGGCTATCATTGAGTCTATTAATTTACTTGTGTAAATTGATGTACATTTATATTTATTTTGTTTTTAATTTAATTTCACTATTATTTTGATATAATAATAGTAATAATAAAATGTTCATTTGATTTATTTACATAACAGTTTGTGAACAGTTTCTGTCTTTTAGTAGAGATATTATATGAGCGACTTTGTTTACCAAATAAGTGCATCTAACTAGATTTGCATTGTAAACAATAAGTAAAAGTTAAAAATGTAATATGTTTTATTTCATGTATTACGTTTTTAGTTATGTTTCCCAAAATCATTCCGTGATGATCATAAATCTGCAGATGTTTTTTTTTTTTTTTACAAAATCCTACGCAGAAATAGCAAAAAATGTCTGCAGATTCTGTCTGGCCCTAGTTATGAGTAGTATTTGTGTGTGTGTGTGTGTGTGTGTATAGAAATGAGCATATACCTGCAGCTTAAATTTGATCAAACAGCTATTTTATATAGTGTACCTGTAATATGCATCATTTTGCTAATAATACGTCAACTTTAAGCTCAATGAGGCCTTAGAGAAGCTGAAAGGAGTCAGTCATTACATCTGCTGTTTTGGCAGCATGGCGAGTTTTATTTCCTTGAGGTTGACCCTCTGAAAACCACACGCAGCCCACAAAGTGTAAACAAGTCCGACGTGAATCCTGCTTTTGTTCTACAGACTCGATCAGCCCGGGTCCTCAGAGTCCGTACTTCAGGATAGTGGGCTTCGACGTCACCAACGTGGAGCGAAACTCCAGCACTTTGGTCAAAGCAGAATTTCGCATCTTTAGAGCGCCAAACCCACAGGCGCGCGCCACAGAGCAGCGAGTGGAAATATACCAGGTAAAAGACAATCCCGTGTGGTTTTTCCAGACAAAAGGCTCAAGTTGTTCCATTGGATGAGCCTGTGCTGTGCTGCTGCTCTCACATTTACATCAACTGCTCTGTCATGATGTGTTGTGCAAGAAATAGAGCGGCAAGTGAATGAATGGGAAAGACAAATAAGCTTGTGGTTTTTCTTCCTTTTTACACCCACAGATCCTGAAATCTGAGGATGTGACGGCCCCGTCTCAGAGGTACATCGACTCCAGAACGGTGGAGCCTCGAGCCAAGGGAGCGTGGCTTTCTGTGGACGTCACAGAGACTGTGAAGGAGTGGATGGCGTTCAGAGGTCAGTGAGTTCATGCGGAGGCTTCAACGTATATTTACTCCTCAATCAAGCGGAGGAGCTTGTAGTATTTCCTTTTCTAAGACAAATAAACGCCTTTCTCCCTCTGTCTCAGAGAGAAATCTTGGCCTGAAGATCAGCGTTCACTGTCCCTGCTGTACTTTCGTACCTTCTACAAACAATATCGTTCCTAACAAGAGCGAAGAGCTGGAAGCCAGGTTTGCAGGTGATTTATCCTTCAGAATAAGTGAAGTTTTAGTTTTAAACTAATTTCGAGAGAAGCATGTGCTCATGATTTACCCAGCTGGTCCACATTAACTAATTATGATCCTCCAATCAAAGGATCCCAAACCACTATATATATCCTCATTTCCTTTCTACAACTATCTTCGTCTGGAAGAAACCCCCCCTCCTCCCCTTCTTCCTCCTTTATCCAGAATGGGCGGCACGGTGGCCCAGTGACTAGCACTGTTGCCTCACAGCAAGAATACCAATGGTGTTGGGTCCTCGCTGAGCCATCTGGTATTTCTGTGTGGAGTTTGCATGTTCTCCCCGTGTCCGCGTGGGTTTCCCCCGGGTTCCCCGGTTTCCTCCCACCATCCAAATGTGCTCTATATTATAGATAAAACAAGCCTAAACCTTTTTTATAATGTCTTACTCTCAGGAAGTTCGCCTTGGCCTCAGCAGCGGGGGAGTTTGAGATAGACCTGAGCTCAATCTCCACTCGCCCTGCAAAAGGGGGGGAGCCCTGGGCTCGAGGATCCCTTGAGCTCAGGGCTCTCTCCCGGGACAGCATGCCAAACAAGCTATGTATAAATCATGAGCTAAGTGTGAACTCTTGAAACGTTTTTTTATAAATGTTGTCACAAATTAAGTTGTGGTGCATGGTGTTCAGTTTTTAATATGTAAATAGTGCACTGTAAAAATGTGTATTTGCACAGAAATTGCCTGTAGCCTGAATTGCAGTGGGTTATTTACGCTTTGAATTGCATTATGGGAGTTTAAACTTCGCCCTTAAATATTTGCAACTTTTGTAAATGTAACTCTGCAGTTTAACAAAGTGACTTTAAATAGAATTTGTGGCTCAATCAGGAGAGTTATGATATAATATAAGCTGCTGTATTTTACCTGTGTAGTGGGAATTTTCTTTAAGAACGCTCTCTCAGTGGTCAATTCTTACCCAAAGCGACTTTTAAAGTTGTATTCTTTACAAAGAAGGTCGCACAGTCATACATCAACAATAGTTTCTGCAGAGAGTGAGACGCAGAAACAGTGCGTTCTGTTTGTCTCTAGTTTGTAATACACACAAGGTCATCAGTGACATACAGGATGAATCACAGTTACATCAGCGCTCAAACTTCATTTTTGACCATCTACATTTCGGCTTTACATCCCATCCGAACATGTAGTTTGTTAAATCACCATGTACTTATCCAGATGTTGTCTGGTGATAAACAGATGTTAAAGAGCCCATATTATACATGAAATAGGGTCATATCTTGGTTGTAAGGGTCTCCAACAACAGTCTAATATGCATGCAAGGTCAAAAAACACTTTCATGGTCTCATAATCTGCATTTATTTTTACCCAATTATCCCAGCGACTCCTGTATGAATCGTTTAGGGATTCATTTGTTCCCAAACCCCTCCTTAGCGCGAAGCTAATCTGCGCTGATTGGACCGATGACAGCCTGTTGCGATTGGTCGACTGCCTTCAGTCAGAGAGTGAAATGCCAAACAGCTAATCAGCAATATAAAAGTAATCACAGTTCATACACGCTCGATAGTGTAGGCGTGGATTTTAGCTGCCAGTGGGTCAATGTAAATACAGACGATGGACTTGAAAATTCAGACGACTAACTATTTTATTGAGCAAAAACTGTCGAGGAGATCTCATAGCTTGTCTCACTCTGCTCTTTTCACAGACACAAACACACACACACACACACACATTGCCCTCGTCCACACACACCTCCGGGCGACAACGCGCGCGCGCACACACAAACACACACACATACCTCCGGACGACAGCGCACGCACACACACACTACCCTCGTCCACCGAGCTCCGTAAACAAAGCAGCACGCGTCGCGTTTTTAACGTGGCTTTGCACGCGATAAGAGAATATAGCCAGTTAACCTGATACAGTACACGCGGTTACAAGTAACAAATCACAACTAAATACATTTGCAAGCTGGAGTCAATGAGGCGACAACTTTAATCACACGTACTTACACTTGAGAAACGGAGGAAGAAACCCATCCTGACGTCCATCAGTAAGTTACTCTTTACTGATCCTTCCTTTAACAAACGCTGATGAAGTATTCTTTGTAGCAGAAGTTTCCAGTAGTTTCCAACTGCTTGGTTATAATGCTGAGGTTTCATCTTTGGGTAGAGATTCGATGATATCCATCTGCAGTGTGACTTCAATCCACCGGCATGTTTGTGTGTGTGTGTTGTGCGTTTCTGCCGGGTTTGCGCGTGCACGTGAATAACTTGGTTTCGTTAGTACGTCATGGCGAAACACCTAATGACTCGGTATCAAGGCGACTCGTTTGAAGCACTATGAGTCGACTCTTTTATAGATGAATCAACCGTTTTAAACACTGTACTCTTACAGATTTAAGCCTTAGCTGGATACTTCACTTCACTTAGAGCTGTGTTACACACTACATGTAAGGGAATTTTCAAAAACCCATAATATGGGCTCTTAAGTGGTCACACTTGGTCTAACTTAAACAGTACAGAGAACATCTTTATACCTTTGTAACTAGGACAAATGAGTATATGAAATGAATATAAGATGAATAAAATGAATTTCCACCACACCTGCCATTTAAATGGTTTAGATTTTCAGCATGTTTGACATGAGTTGCACTTATAAAATATGAATATCAAACAAAGTTTTAAACCAATCAGCATTTTTCATTTCATTTTCATGCCAAATATTTCTGCATACAAATTTTTATGCATAATAATTATAACAACAGTAAAATATAATATATGGGTGTGTATTTTGCCATTATATTGGTGCCAAAAAATTGCAATCAAAATGGTCAGAATATCTTAAAAGAAAACCATCAAACAAAGACATTTATACAATATTAAAGGGTCACGAAACACCAAAACACATCTTTTGAGATGTTGACAGTCAAATGTCCCACGTTGCTAAAAACACCATTAGGACACGTATATATTTCACTAAAAAGTGAAATTGAAAGTGATTCGAGCAAATTCGTTCTTCTGGCTTGAAATGAAATTATGAAGCAACGACACGGCCATTAGATCCTTGTGTGAGCTCCAGCATGTAGGTTGGTTGTGTAAGTCTTGAAGCTTACGCTGCTATTCTGAACCAATAGTCAGAAACAGAAAGCAGCTGAAGGATGGCGTGTTGAAATCCATTATCTGACTTCATTGTTATTAATCTGACTCCATTAAAGTTGTTATCATTAAGAATATTTTTCATGAAAAAAAAAAGAATCAAAAAAGTTTGGTCCCACTTTATATTAAGTGTCCTTAACTACTATGTACTTGCATCAAAAAATAAATACAATGTACTTACTGTGTTAATGATGTATTTGAGAACACTTGTGGTGCTCTTGAGTAGGGATAGGGGTTGGGTTATGGACAGGTTTGGTGGAATGGGTAGGTTTTAGGGTGGGTTAAGGTGTAAGGGATGGTCAAGTGTATTTACAAATGTAATTACAGAAGTTAATTACAGATGTAATTACATATAGGTATTTTATTAAGCATAAGTACAAAATAAGTACATGTATTTACACAATAAGTACATTGTAACAATTTATTAATTCCTGTGTAAGTACATATTAGTTAAGGCCACTGTATATAAAGTGGGAACACAAGTTTTAATCAATAAACACACCATTCAATATGATAACCAAAAATATTTGAGCACTTTCTAGTCGTCAGATTTACTGAAAAGGTTGACTTCAGTTGTTGTTGTTGACATGTTGGCTTGATTCCTTCCCAGGCATTGACGACGATCTTATAAAACAGACCAGGAAACCAGGTGTGACCAAAGGACAGATTGAATTCAGCACAAAAACTCCCCATCTGATCTTAACCCTGCTGCCCACTGACCGGCTGGACAGCCCTATCAAGAAAACTCGCAAGAAGAGATCTGCAGCAGACACCTCCATATGCACACGGTACACAGACATTTCTTTTGATTATTGTTTATCATTACTCTCTCTGATATACTTCATTTCGACAGAGAATCATTTTAATATTGCCATTTCATTGTCCTTAAACTGAAATTACATATATTAAATGTGTAATTTGCAATAAACTGAATGTGAAATACAGTGGTCCCTCCCTATAATGCGGCCTCGCAGTGTCCAGAATTTTTTGGGGGCAATTTGACATGCTTTTTTTACGGCGCATTGTGTTCTGCGTCCTGATTAGTGCATTGTGTTCTGCGTCCTGATTAGTGCATTGTGTTCTGCGTCCTGATTAGTGCATTGTGTTCTGCGTCCTGATTAGTGCCTTGTGTTCTGCGTCCTGATTAGTGCATTGTGTTCTGTGTCCTGATTAGTGCCTTGTGTTCTGCGTCCTGATTGGCTGTAGACCATTGTCAATCAATCTCCGTGTCTCCTGTACAGTGCAGAATGCGTTCAGCTTGGCAAATTTACTTAAATCTTTAATCGCTAGCAGTTTAGCTAGCAGTGCTGTTTTCTCGTTTTTTTGCAAGTTTTCTCCCCAACAAAACGTTGTGCACTGTCGGAGGCACATGCGATAGCACTCAAAGGGCAGAAGATGCTAACCACTGCACAAAAAGTTGGACTGTTGGACATGCTAAAAGAAATGTAGAAGTTATGCAGCTGTAAGGCGACATTACGGAATGAAAAAGTCTTTGTTTCATTACTTTCGGCTTTACAGCCTTAAAACGTCTATAATAGGGGTGTCAAACTCATTTTAACTCAGGGGCAAGAGACACATAAAGCTGCATGAGATTGATCCTGATGTTTGTGTATTTAAAACAGAGGTTAAGGTCTTGTTGCATCACACACACCGAATGAACACATGCTGAGACTTGCCCAGGGAGTGTCGCGTCTGATAATGCAGTCTGCATCCCGTCTGTCCTGGATCTAAATGCTCTTTATTTGTTGTGTAGAGTGCTTGCTTTCTGCTAAGCAACATAAAAATTGGTCACTTAAGTCAAATCAGAGTTTGCTGCAGAAGTCAGTCAAGTAGACATAATACTTGGACGCAGCTAGACAGCAGATGTTGAGAGGAGAGTCATTTTTTTCTCACTTGATTTTTAAACCAAATTTTCTTTTTTTTTCTTTTTTTTTTTTTTAGGAACTATCCTGCCCACTTTATGTAGTACAGTAAAAGTGAATATGTTTCTGAAAATGTTGCTTATTAAAAAGACTGTTTGAAGGTGCCAAGGCGAGATTTTGTTTTTATGAGTAATGATTTCAGTTTAAGTTTAAAGTAGTAATGTGATTTTCAAGACTTGTCATGTGGTTTACTTATATAGTGCTTTTGCAAAGGGTTTTGTTGTTATTGTTATTCAAATTGCTGGAAGGGAATCTCCTGCTTAAAACATATGCCAGTGTAATCGGTGGTTCATTCCACTGTGGCAACCTCTTGAAGAATCTTGAACTAAGCTGAAAGATAGTAAGTGAGTGAGTGTTATTCAAATTATGTTACAATGTCATGTGTGTTTTACAGAGGGCTCTATTTTAATGATCTAGACCAGGGGTGTCAAACTCAATTCCTGGAGGGCCGATGCCCTGCACAGTTTAGTTCCAACCTTACTCCAACACACTTACCTGTAGGTTTCAAACAAGCCTGAAGGACTCAATTAGTTTGATCAGGTGTGTTTAATTAGGGTTGGAACTAAACTGTGCAGAGCTGTGGCCCTTTTGGAACTGAGTTTGACACCTGTGATCTAGACGCAAAGTCTAAAGCGCATTGGGCAAAAGCATTAAGGGCGTGTCCTAATCCACTTTAAGCCATTTTAAGAATAAAACGTTGTACGCCCCGGCACATGGTGTAACATGGTTGTGCTTATTTTCCTAAAGGTTCACGAAACCCTTGAGTACTATTTTTGAGATGTTAACAAATTTATGTGTGTTGAGCATCAGTTAAGAAAATGTTAGCACCTGTTAGCTTTAATTGTGGGGAAAACTGGGTAATATTGAGCTTTTGTCAGCTAATTTCAGCTTCCGGGTTTAAAATGATTTTTGGGGCGGGATCAAAATTGGCGACATATTGCAAAACTGCAAGTGCAAAGATGACGCGTCGGTTTCTCATTATTCTTCATAGCGGAGTTTTCTTATCCTATGAGAAGAGCCGGTTTCTTAATTATTCATGACTGCACATACTTTCCGAAGGCAAGGCAGACCTGCCAGTGCCAAGCTGTGAGATCCTACCTTGATGAATGAGTGAAACCTCTTCCACGGACCCACGCCACACAGAATTTAGCCGTTCATGAAGGGTCTATGTGTTTGTTTCCATGATCCACAGGGTTTGCAGCATGTTTTTCCCCAAGATGCTGTCAGGGCTGATGAGCAAAGCTGTTTGTTAGCAGCAAGCATTTTTGTCAGGAGAGCAGTGCGAGAATTGGAGAATGGTGGACGTTGTCTTTTATCAGGAAATCGCTCAGATTTAGACACATCGCCGTGCTGCTGTGTTTGCCTAAATCCTCTAGATTACCAGAAGGGCTAATGGTTAAAATAGACAGGGCAAGAGACCTGCTGCACTGAGTCTGCATTCAGACCCGGAGATTGAGGGAGAAGTCCTCATTTATAGTGTTTATCTGAACATGATTATCTTTATAATGATATAAATTTTGGTTATCTGTATATGAAATTACGAATAACAAATGTAGCAGGGCATTAAATCACTGTTTATTTCTTTGCATTTTAACTTTGTAAACTAAAAAATAAGTGGTCTCCTCACGGTTTGTCTCATTTTGTGAGCCGACAGACAACAGTTGTTAAAAGTCGTTAACAGTTAAACAGACCCTCTGCAGTCACAGTGCAGATCTTATAATATGCATTTATTTTTACTTAATTATTCCATTAACTACCATATGATTTGTTCAGCAATTCATTTGTTCCCAAACACATCCTTTGCGTGATGCTAATCTGCGCTGATTGGTCTGATGATCCAGTCTTTTGTGATTGGTCGACTGCAAAAAGCGCGAGACGGAGAGAAACGTCTAGTACTCAGAGCACAGAGTATATGTTGTGAGCCCAATGCAGGAATGCAATAGAACAATGCAGTTAAACACCAGCATATTACTCTGCTCTTAACCCTAACCCCAAGTAATAACAACGACACAAAATCAGTAATGATCCACACAGTGGCATATTTTGAATATTGACAATACCGTGAGAAACAGCTGATGGTAGCAAAGGCAAATGCATTTAAATTGGTTAAAGAAGCTTGCGTTACGTTTTCAACGTGGTTTTAGATGAGATTTGTGAAATAAACTATACAGATTTAACCTAAGGCCCTGTTTACACTGTCAGGTCTTAATGCCAAATTCCGATTTGTTGCCTATATCTGATTTTTTTTGCTTGTCTGTTTACATGTTGTTTTAATTGTGACCCATATCCAATTCATGCGTTTACACTTGCCATACAATTTATGATGTCGCACATTCATAAAGGCAGTTTCTAGCATCTGTGCCGCACTAGCCACGATAGAAGAAATTGTCTTGTTTTTAGCTCTGTGAAATATTTGCGAAGTGTAGCATAAGCAGTGAATAGTTCAGTCCATATTTACCCCTTCACAGTTTATGTAATGGTATAGCCCTGATGTGTGCGTGTACTTGAATATGTAGCCTTTGCCTGTGTGCACACTGGTGTTAGAGAGAATAAAGTTGTTCAATACGTAGCCCGAGGTGAGGCAGTGGCGCAGTAGGTAGTGCTGTCGCCTCACAGCAAGAAGGTCGCTGGGTCGCTGGTTCAAACCTTGGCTCAGTTGGCGTTTCTGTGTGGAGTTTGCATGTTCTCCCTGCCTTCGCGTGGGTTTCCTCCGGGTGCTCCGGATTCCCCCAAAGACATGTGGTACAGGTGAAGTCAATAAATGTGAACTAGTCCTGCTAACTCAATCTATCCTTCCGTCATCGCAGCTTGCGCCTATGGTTTATACATGATGTCCTCCACCATTCAGAGGAATTTGTGGGTACGAGAGAGATCTCAGGTCTGGTGGGAGCAAATTGTGGCGATTGACTTCTTTCCTCCTCCATGCTTCCTCTGTTGATGTTGTTGTTTAACACGTTGGCGTCTCCACACACGCTCTTCCTTCTATGTCATTAAATCGCGGAGAAGCACCACATTGTCGCAAGTTTAATAACGTATAAAACGGAACGCCTCAATAAATCCGATCAGCCTGTTTACATGACAGTCGCATTGTCACATATCCGATCTGTATCTGATTTATTTCCACATATGAAGGAGGCCTGAAACCTATCTCTGAATATCCGAATGCATGCATTTTTTTTTTCGTGTTTACACAGCCATAGAACAAATAAGATCTGCGTCACATATGAGCAAAAAATCGGAATTGGGTCACATTTAACTGGCTGTGTAGACAGGACCTGAGAGATGCAATACAAGCACTGATCTATAACAGATACCATCACTTGATTACAAGTCGTGCGGAGTGATTATGAGTTACAATTAAATACATATTTTGCATAATCACATTTAACATTGTGTAGGAAGGAGAAACACTTACAGGATCTGGAGGAAGAAGAAACTGGTCCGTACTACAGTTACTAACAAAGTCCCATACATTAGTAGTCTTTGCTGATCCTTCCTTTGAAAACGAATGGCCGGCAAATCAAGTGCTGCAGAATAGGTTTTTGCATCAATCATCAGAAAAATGACAGGAACAAACACAGCACCCAATTAGCTATACTGTGGTGGTGTTGTGAAAATGAGCTTTAACCCTTTATTCCCCACAGCTGCATGTCTGGCCATATCTCAGTGACAGTAATCTATGCATCATGATCAATCCCATGATTCCTCGCACTCTGCTAGTGTCTGAAGGGAAAGGCGCGTTCACGTTTTACCAGATCCAGCACAGAACATATTTGGTATTGTTTCGTGACGACGTTAATACGAACAGGCAAAAGATCTAGACAAACGATGAATCGTTTAAACGACTCGAATCTTTTATTTAAAACAAATCTATATTTTTAAACAAGGTGCACTTTCAGATTTACCCCTCTGCTAGTTGTTTTCACTCACTTAGAGCTGTGTTGCACACTGCATGGAAGGTAATTTTCAACCCATAATAGAGGCTCTTTAAGGTAAACATCTCTTTTACCACACTATCATAATCTGCAACACTTTTTGTGCCTCCTTTAGGAATGATCAGGGCTGCTGTCTGAGGTCTCTCTATATTGATTTCCGCCGGGACTTGAACTGGAAGTGGATCCACGAACCCAAAGGCTATAAAGCAAATTTCTGCGCAGGGAACTGTCCTTACCTGTGGAGTGCGGACAACCACTACAACATGGTAAATATTCATCAGGCTGACTATGCTTAACTATTGAGTACCTTTTTGCACAAATATAATAACATAGATAAGAAAACAGAAGTCAAGAAAGCCTCTCTTAATAGCGATCTGGATGTTTTCATGAGGATAGATTGAGTTTGCAGGTCTTGTTCACATTTATTGACTTCATAGATTAGATTGCTTTAAAGGGGACCTGTTATGCCCCTTTTAACAAGATGTAAAATAAGTCACTAAGAGTGTGTATGTTTCAGCTCAAATTTTCACACAAATGTTTTTTTTTATAACTCTTTGAAACAGCCCCTCTTAGTGTTTGGTCCAAATCATTTCATTTTGGCAAATGTTGCTTTAAATTCAAATGAGACTGTGCGACTACAGTCATCTATGTAAAAAACTGAAAATGCCAAAAGAAAGGGCTCACAAGAGGGTCGTCTATGGAGATTGTGTTCATTTGTGCATCCTTAAGGCTCATACACACCGGGATGCTTTTCCTTTGCGTTTATTGTCAGTAAAATGAAAGAAACAACAGTAATAATAACTGACAACACCAACAATAATAATAATTACAAGTACTACACCAATTACTACTACTTAATTACTGTGGCTGCCGTCGCATCATCTAAATGGATGCTACACACTGGTGGTGGTGTAAAGAGACTCCCCTTATGATTGTGAAGTGCTTTGGGTGTATGGCCATACACAATAAATGCGCTATATAAATACACATTACATTACAAAAATAGAAATAGCATGTAATAAACCACTTTTTTAATACATCCATACAAACTTTTTTTGATCGTGATAATTCGTTTAACAGCACCAATAAAGATTATATACAGGCCTACATATGTGTATTATATGTTAATGTGTTATATAAAAATCATATACAAACACCACACACACAATCCAGAAGAATATAAATAACATACCCTGCCATGTACGTAATAGCTGCAATGAAATCTGTCTTGTTTTGCAATAATCCAATAAACAAAGCACGATAAACAACCATAACGTGAACAGAGATGCGCAGCAGCTGTGAATGTTTGTTGATGGTAAGTTCATCGACTGAACAAAAAATGCAATCCTTGCGACAAAACTAGATGGTTGTTATTGTGAATCACTTTTCTCCCTTACAAAAAAAATAAATAATAATAATAATAATATTGTCGACTATGCATCCACGCTTTTTCATCTGTTATTTCATGATGTCTGGAAGATATCTGCATGGGGAAATTATAGTAATTTATAATAAACATGTTTTTGAACCACACAGTAAAGTGAATAATGTGTTCAAGTTTTTGTTAATAAATGCTACAGAATGCTGCAGCATAAACTGATAAACTGTAATAAATCCTGTAACGTTAGTGTAAACTGTGGTGCATCGTGATGGTGTATAATATAGCGTAGAAATCTGAAGCCTGTTGAATTTATTACTACAGTTGTACCACAGAAACAATATAATTACTAGCACAGTTTAATTCAAGTAATTATCTATAGTAAGCTTCCAAAGTCTCTAGATACTATAGTATTTTATAGTATAGTATCTACCACCTTTGTGAGGCAATTATATTTTAGTTCCTTTAGTCCTATTAATGATATAAGGATCATGCTCAACATATGTGGTTATTTTCTATTTATTTCTCCTTTAAAATATGGTATAAATGGTGAAAAAATGCAGTCTTTCCTCTGTCTCCCATTCATTTTTTCACTTTCTGCCCTCCATCTAAATTCCGCGCATCACCAGACCCACATGACTGAAAACAACCTATACAACGTGTTACCATTTTTCCTCAGATAGCATATTTCTAAAGGTGCTGTTGACTTGAAATTTTCACCAGATGTTGAAATCTATATATGCAAAGAAAACAAATCGAATTAGTTTACAAATGAATTTATGTGTAAAAAAAATGAAATGACACAGGAAAAAGTATCAAACACATGAAGAAAGGGAGTTGGCAGTGAAAGTCCAGACAGCAGCTGAAATCTCTCTCAGTTCTTCAGAAACACTCTGCCCTTCCTCATTGTGAATTAATATTCACTGCTTCAATCCAACATCTACATTATCAGGAGGGTGAAGATGAAAACATAGGAGAGATTTCAGCGAGACAATGATCCAAAAACAACCAAGGAAACTCTCAAATGTTTTCAGAGAAAGAAAATTAAGCAGTGGAATGGCCCAGCCAATCACCTGAATTAAATCCAATGGAAATTAAAGATCAGATTGAATAGACGAGACCCGAAGCAACCACCAAGATTTTTACACTCTGTTGAAGTCTGTGAAAACTCACATCTGAGCAATTCATGTGACTTCATTCTCTATATAAGAGGCGTCTTTAAGCTGCCATCACCATCATTTCTTTGGTTGTTATCAACATCTGGTGAAAATTCAAAGGCAGCTTTAGAAATATGTTTTCTGAGAAAAATGTTGACATGTTAAATACTTATTTTCCCATCTGTATATGGTAAGAAATGTGTTCTCAAATATACTTTTTGAATGATTTCAAAATGCAAATAAATGGCATAAAATATATTCATGCAAATACATGTTCTATATATACACATGTGGCCATTTTATATATTTTTCAAAAAGCAAATATATTAAAGCATTAAAAAATATAAGAATACATTAACTAGTAACACTAAAAAGCTGCAATTCTGCACTTACTCTGCATTTTCAAATCTGTATTTGGATGCGGCTGTATCTTATTTATTTTGGAACCTATATTTAAATATGACAGCAATGTTGTGCTCTGAAAAGTTTCCATGAATGAATCTCTGACAGCGACGCCTCCCCTCGCCATCAGCCAATCACTGTCTGCATAGTTATTATGACATCAACCAAAGCAACAAAGTCAATCCAGCTCTTTAATCTTATTTTAAAACTTGCTTCTTTAGTAAAGGGTTGTCTCAGCAGCTTTGTGAACAGGTTTTAAGTGAAAACTATAAGCTAAAAGTATTCAATGTTATTTAGAAAATCAAATGTTTTGTGAATTTGGTTACATAATACAATTTGAAAAGGTAAATAAATGAAAAAAACCTGTAGATCACAAGCACAGGGAGAGAACATCACACCTGTACTGGTTTCCCTACACTGGTTACTGATCCAGTTTATAATTCAGTAGAAATACTGTTGTATGTTTTTAAATCACTCCATGGCCTGGCCCTTGAGAATATTTCTGCGCTATTCAATAAACACCAACCCATGAGATCTTTTCGCTCCAAGGATCAACTCTATTTGACAGTTCTGCGATCACGCTTGAAATGTAGAGGTGATAGAGCTTTCGGTTCAAGTCTACCTCAGAATTTTTTCAAAAGATGCATCATAATGTGTGTGGAGCTCCACGATCGAGATGGGTCTGGCTGCAGACCTAGTGCAGTGCAATCTGGGCTGTATCCAGTGCTTTTTAATGGGCTCACCTAACCCCACCCCTAACCCTACCCGTCGCAGTGACGTCACCAGCTCCATTTGAGTGCATTGTGTCTGACATTGCATCACTGAGTGATGCAGTCTCAGCTTGCATCATAAAGGCTGCATCCAGATATTATTGCCACGATCAGTGGCAGGAGTGGGCGTGGCCAGCAGAACAGGGGAGAAGGAGGGGAGCGAACAACTGTTGTCAGTCGGCTCACAAAATGAGACACAACCCGTGAGAAGACGCATGATTTTATAGTTTACAAAGTTAAAATGCAAAGTAATAAACAGTAATTTAATGTCCTGCAACATTTGTTATTCGTAATTTCATATACAGATAACCACAATTTATACAATTGTAAAGATAATCGTGTTTATAAACACTAAATGAGGACTTTTCCCTCAATCCCGGGGTTTGAATGCAGACTTAGGCCCCGTTTACACTAGTGCGTTTTAGTTTGAAAACGCATAAGTTTTGCTACGGTTACGCCATCCGTCCACACTACGCCGGAGTTCTCGAGCGCCGAAAACTGAGCTTTTTGAAAACGCTGGAGAGGCCGTTTTCATTCTAAAACGCTGCTGCTCCGTCTCAGTGTGGATGGGGAAAGACGGAGATATCTGAAAACGGAGGCGGGGCTGCAAACGTTCGCCTATCTGATTGGGGCTTTTCCTCAATATTAAGTAGCCCACACACAGTTCAGTCTCGCATCCTCTTCTTGTAAGTTAAGACTTCGCAAGTTTGATCAAGGCTGCAGTCTCCCCCTTCTCAGTTTGATATGGAAAACATACCGAGGACACGCGTCAATCTTCAAACGGAACAGTGGACTTTATAACTTCATTCACATCACCTTGGCTACGTTGTTTCACTTTCTCAACAATAAAATGTAAACATGATTTAAGGAACTGCCTTATTTCTTTTTAATATTAGCAACTTAACAGACAGCAGAAATGTTGAGGCGTCGTGCTGCATATTTGAGCGTGGATATTTATAACAAAACGGAGCATATAACAACTGCTTCCTTTTAATTTAAGTGAAAATACGAAACGCACCCTCTCTTTTGCTGAATATCAGTTTTAATAATCGACAATTATAAAAGTATAACATACAATAAGTTTATACATTGTAGGAAATAAGGGCAAGCGATCAGTCAATGTACCTGGATTAATCATTAACTTATCTTTGCACTTAACCAAAACATGTTACCCGTGAACAAGTAACTTAATAGATTCCAATGACCAAAGTCAGGGAATTGGCCTATGTCGTCAGATAAAGACAACAACATGAATGAAATATCACGTTTAGCAAATATAGTGAGATTAGATCCAGCGGGAGATGCGTGATGAGCAGTCCGACAAGCAGAGCTCTCATCTGGGTAGAAATGCTGGAGCGCTTGCCCGAGAGTGTGTGTGTGGTCACGTGATGTGCGTTTTCAGCGTTTTGGTGTGGACGGAGAGCTGTTCAGAAACGCTGGGTAAAACGCGAGTGTGGACGCGGATCGTTTTCATTCTACAACGCCGTTTTAAAACTAAAACGCACTAGTGTAAACGGGGCCTTAGTGCAGCAGGTTTCTTGCCCTGTCTATTTGAACCATTAGCCCTGCTGGTAATCTGGAGAATTAAGGCAAACAGCAGCACGGCGATGTGTCTAAATTTGAATGAACTGGAATAAGGACAAAGTCCACCATTCTCAAATTCTCGTACTGCTCTCCAGACAAAAATGCTTGCTGCACACAAACAGCTTTGCTGTATCGGCCCTGACAGCATCGCAGGGAAAAACATGCTACAAACCCTGTAGATCATCAAAGCAAACACATTCAAGCCTTCATCAACGGCTAAATACTGTGTGCCGTGGGTCTGTGGACGCGGTCTCACCCAGTCATCAAGGTAGGATCTCACAGCTTGGCACTGGCAGGTCTGCCTTGCCTTCAGAAAGCACGTGCAGTCATGAATAATTAAGAAGCCGGCTCTTCTTATAGGATAAGAAAACTCTGCTATGAATAATAATGAGAAACCGACGCGTCATCTTTGCACTTGCAGTTTTGCGCTTCATCGCTGATTTTAGTCCCGCCCCAAAAATCATTTTAAACCTAGAAGCTGATATTAGCTGACAAAAGCTCCAAATTATTCAGCTTTCCCCACAATTAAAGCTGACAGATGCTAACATTGTCTTAACTGATGCTCAACACACAAATCTGTTAACATCTCAAAAAAGTACTCGAGGGTTTCGTGAACCTTTACGAACATCTCCTACTTTGGAGTCATTTCAGAGGTCACTGAAAACACACTTATTTTCTTTAGCTTTTAATCATGTGTTGTGAGTTTATGCACTCTGGTTGCTTGTATCTTTGCATGTATTATGTGTTTTTATGAACACTTTGGTAGCTGTTGTGGTTGGTTGAAAGTGCTCTAGAAATAAATTAGGTTGAGTTGAGCACAGGCATCTATGAACTAACAGATTAGCTAGAAATTAGTTAGGAATTAATTAGCTAGTTAGGAATTAGTTAACAAAATACACAAAATGAATCCCCATGGTTCCTGATGATACATTGAGGTCTTTAAGAAACGTTATTCCCTTTAATCTACAGCAGGGGTCTTAAACTCAAATTGGCAGGGAGCCATATCAGTGACTGACAATTTATAGGAGGGCCGCTTTAACATTCAAGCACAACAAAAAAGTGGAAGCCTGATGTACAGTAATTGATGCACTCAGACATTCTTCTCCAGAGTACAGTACTAAATGTGCAGTCAAAGCTCCTTCTTTTTGTTTCTTGTTGTGCATATTGAAGGGTAATTGCTATAAAAATACTACAATTTGATAATAGGCATAATAATAATGCTAATTATTATGTCCCAATCAATTGTTGCTTAACCAAACGTTGAACTGATAGCAGAAAGCAGTTTGGGTAACTTTAGTGACTTTACTGGTAATTGTTCTTCTCAATATCTTTCTTTTTTTGTAAAACTACAAAAAAGAGGGGAAAAGTATATGTATACATTCACGTTTACTTTAACATGTTCAATTCAGCCAGCAGTAAAACTTTACTAATGCACATGTTTACACGATTCTATACATGCATATGAGGAAAATCTATTAATGAGACCATTTGAATCAAACATTAGCAAAATGATCATATTTACACCACCAGTATAATGTGTAAGCCATGAAGAAGTGTTTGTACAACTAAAATCAGAATCAAATGACCCTGGAATATTATCAAAAATATAGCTTTAGCAAAAATAGAGCACTTGCGGACATATATTTCAACATTTAAATCAGCCGCAGGAATAATCTGCATGTGCGTTACTCTCGACCGAACGCTGAGAGAAACCGAAAGTAACCCGGACATATAGTAGGCCCACAGTAGATTAATGCCCAGTAGGTGGGGGTCAAAACCACAAGTGCCTACATGCAACAATGATAGTGATTTAAACATATATATTTGTATAAATATATGGGCCGAATCTCATCATATTTTGACGTCAGTTGTGGGCCGGAGGGAGGAGAAGGGAAGGCCACAAATGGCCTGGAAATTTGAGACCCCTGATCTACAGACTCTGAAAAAGATGTTAAGCGTGTTCCTGACAAATCAGTCTTTCTGATTGAGGTCACACACTTGAACTTGGTTTTACTTTTTATATACACTGCTAAAAATGTTGGGTTCCACCCAATTCATTCATGTGGTCCCAACACAAATCCGTAATTTGTGGATTAAGTTAAATGAACATAAAACAATTAAGTTCCCCCCAAAAATCTCTACAACTATGTTGTTTCAGCTCATTTTAAGTAAGTCATTCAAGTGTAGGCTATAGCAGCCACAATAATAAATATTATATTCACAATAAAAGTCACAATAAAGTCAAAATTATCATACACTGTGATTATTTTTCTTTCTCAAACATTTCCCAGAGGATGTTTAACTGAGCAAGGAATTTTTCACAGTATTTCCTATTTTTATCTTCTGAAGAAAGTCTTATTTGTTTTATATCAGCTGGAATAAAAGCAGTTTTTAATTTTTAAAACCATTTTAAGGTCAAAATTATTAGCACCATTAAGCAATATTTTTTTTCGATTGTCTACAGATTAAACCCTCATTATACAATAATTACCTTAACTTGCCTACTTAACCTAATTAAGCCTTTAAATGTCACTTTAAGCTGAATTCTACTACTATATTGAAAAATATTTAGTAAAATATTAAGTTCTGTCACCATGGCTAAGTTAAAAGAAATGAGATATTAAAACTATTATGTTTAGAAATGTGTCGAAAAAAAATCTTCTTTCCATCAAACAAAAATAGCGAAAAAATATACAGAGGGGCTATTAGTTCAGGAGGGCTAATAAGGCCCAATCCCAATTCTATTTTTGTACCCCTTCCCCTTGGCCCTTAAAATCAAGGATGAAGGGAAGGGCTTTAAAATTTACCCTTAAGAATTGGGACAGCACCTGCACACGTCTTCATATGTCATCGTGATCTCTTAATTCATATGAGATCAGATCAGTTGTGCTATTTTTTGGTATTTATCTTCAGGAAATCACTGAAGGCATATATCATGTTATCATGATTTAATGTGGCAATACGATCGTAACTATACTGTGTATTTACACAGTTGCCATATTTATCTATGTAAACTCACCAAAAACAACAATAACAGACACTGTGAAAAGCTCATTCACAGTCACTAGACACTACTGACGGTATTTGAGTGTCATTGAGTGTCAGAATGTTGTGAGACTGCTGTACAGGAGTTATCATTATGGATTATAGATCGCAAAATTTAGCGGTTTTATTTTAGCGTTTTTTAAAGGCATGACACTACAACACGAGCGCTGTTATGAATATATTAAAACATGTGCTTGTTTGTTGAAAATATTTGTAATAATGACAAAAAATACTAATTTGTGGATCTCCTTACTTCCGATTGCTGTGATCCTGCTGTTGTGGCTGGTGTATTCTGGGGAATTTTCTTAAATTTCTTCGAGTGTGGTGCTAAAAAATCTTTGTTTAAAGGGCTATTCACCCCTTCCCCTTAGCTCTACGCCAGGGGTGTTCAAACTCGCTCCTGGAGGGCCGGTGTCCTGCAGATTTTAGCTCCAACTTGCCTCAAACACCTGCAAGGATGTTTCTAGAAAGCCCAGTAAGAGCTTGATTAGCTCTCCCAGGTGTGTCTGATTGGGGTTGGAACTAAACGTTGCTGGACACCAGCCCTCCAGGACTGAGCTTGGGCATGCCTGCCCTACGCCTTCAAGCTAAAAACCCCTACCCCTACACGGCGGTCGTTTCCACGCAAAACGAGGGGTAGGGGTTAGGGGAAGGGCAAAGGGGTAGAATTGGGATTGGGCCTAATTCTGACTTCAACTGTATATGTTGCTTGACTACAGTAAAATGTCATTTCTAATCAAATTGGTTGAGTTCAAGTTATTTCATTGCATTTGTTACGTTCCATGTTTTATTTCTAATACAGCCTTTCTCTATCTCTGATTTCCTTTTAGATTCTCCCTCTGTATAATAAAATGAATCCAGAAGCATCAGCGTCTCCGTGTTGTGTTCCTCAGGACCTGGAGCCTCTCACCATTGTTTATTTCCTAGGCCGGACCCCTCGGGTGGAACAGCTCTCCAACATGGTGGTCCGTTCCTGTAAGTGCCGCTAATGCAGAAGATCTCATATGGAGGACAGGAAACAGGTGGATTAGAGAAGAACAAAGACATATGCTGCGTCCGAAACCGCATACTTCCATACTTTATAGTACGCCAAAATCAGTATGCGAGCCGAGTAGTATGTCCAAATACATAGAATTCGAAAATCAGTATGCGAGAAGTACCCGGATGACTTACTACTTCCGGCGAAATTCTGGAGTGCGCATCTCATGCACGCTGCGCTATCCCATGATGCCCCGCGAGCGAATTCATGAATGGGAGTGAAGCGACGCAAATTACGCAGGTAGGTCGCATGACCATGACAAAATGGCGGATGTAGTACGTCCGAATTCCATTCATACTTTCACATTCCTACTGTATAGAACGTACTTTTCTAACGGCAGAGTAGTACGTTTAAATTCAAATACAGTACCTACTGAGTAGTAGGCGGTTTCGGACGCAGCCATAAAGTCATCATATTGAAGAGAATTCAGCTAAAAATTGACTCACCATTAGGGTTGTTGCTATACTGGAATTTGGTACCAATCAATACTGAAATTTTAAATACGGCCATTTCCTGCTAACATTTGAGCGCTGTTGAGCTTGTTCTTGAACAGCGCTGATTTGCCATTGTGTTCATGTGCTCAACAGAAATGATTGGCTGTGAAGGTCATCAGTTCACTGAACTCACCGCTGTTTACTGAGGTAACCACAGATACAGGGACACTGGAGCGTTTCAAAGTCACGATTCATCAACGGATCACTCGTTTGTCAGCTTATAGACAAACCAGCTGATTAACATGACTTTAAAATGCTTCAGTGTCCCTGTATCTGTGTTTACACTCAGTAAACAGTGGTGAGTTTGGTAAACTGATGACTTTCACAGCCAATCACAGTCATTTCTGTTGAGCATGTGAACACAACGGCAAATCAGCGCTGTTTAAGAACGCACTCAACAGCGCTCAGATGTTAGCCACAAATGCACGTTTTTAAAATTTCAGTATCGATTGCTACCAAATTCCAGTATCGTGACGGCCGTACTCATTGTGATGTCATTCCAAATTGGTGCACACGTTTCTTTCTCCTGTTAAACGTAAGAGTAGATCATTTGGAAGAATGACGCAAGCCAAAGTGCTCCACAGCCTATTGACGTCAATTGAATGCACACGAAAATGAAATTCTTCTGTCCTGCCAACTCATAGCATATTTTTAGCAAAACTACTCCTTAGGAAATGTACACATGAGAAACGTTCGTCAAGCATCATCAAAGCAGAGGACACAACCAGCTTTAATATTATCTCGCATCGGCCATATCTTATAAATAAAGCTTTTATTTTAACTAGTTTTCCAGTACAATGGTCTCTCGTTATTCGCAGGAGTTACATTCTAAAAATAACCCACAATAGGTGAAATCTGCAAAGTAGTCAGCTTCATTTTTTACAATTATTTTAGATGTTTTAAGGCTGTAAAACCCCTTAATACACACTTTATAGACTTTTCTCAGACCTGCATTAACATTTTCACAATTTTCTCTCTTGTTTAAAACTCACAAAGTTCAAACTTTCATAGAAAAATATGTCCAGTGTTATAGAATGAAACCAAAGATTAAAATCTGTTGTCAGGTGTAAACATTCATCGCTGTTAGCAAAACGTTCATAAAGCTTTTTACATTTTGTGTGGAAAATTAGGGATGTCCATATCCAATTGTGATTAGAAATCGGGCCCAATCAAGCAGTTTCAGACTCGATTAGAATTGGATGTAACCTCCTGATCATATAAATATATTCTCATTATTTTTTAACATCTATAGTTCTGCTGTTGCACAGAGTTAGACCTCTTTCTTGACTCCACACAGAAACAGCAACACATGCAGCATGACATCACATGTTGCAGAGACGCTATTGGTTAAATGCCAGCAAAGTAGAACAGGAAAGCAGCTTGAAGCGGAAAGCGTGACTATGTCTGCGGTCTAGAGATAGTATAAAGGTATGATGAAGACAACATTGATATTGCCAACATCATAAGGTATGCAAACTTAGCATTGCATGAGGTGGAAAGGAAAAGTCTACAATTAACACAACAAACCTGATAAGACACCTTAAAAACAAACATATAACCTCGAAATGTCGTCTCGCCACTATTTCAGCGACACCAATTCTGACAAACTACTTGCCTTGTTATAAGATGTCCATGTTTTGTTCACCACAGACATAAGAATTTCGTTCGTAGCTTCCATGTCTCTACTAAGTCTTACCGCACAATGGATTGACTCCATCCTTGATCTTTTTCTTCGCTCTTCTTTTTATGTATTAAAGAAGTATTGGATCGGATTTGGTATCGGTAGATACTCAAAATCAAATGACTCGGACTCAAGGGCAAAAAAACCTGATCGGGACATCCCTACGGATAATGTTAGCATCCAGCGTAATGTTCTTTTTCCTGCAGCTACTGATTCACAAAACGAAAGCAGACTCCATCCTTAAGAGGGTCGACTTGCACACCGGATGCGCCACGCATGTTTGGATGGCATGTCGTGGCGCATCATGTATGCGACGCCACCTTTACGATGGTCTTGCTGCGGACAGTTACAACCCTTTTTGCATCCTTGTTGAAACTCACACTGCTAGCGATCGAAGACTTATGTTAATTTGGCTAGCTAAATGCATTCTGTACTTTACAGGAGACTGACTGACAATGGGACACAATCAGGACACAAAACACACACACACACAAAAAAATCAGCGAAACCGCAAAAGGTGAACCGCGTTATAGTGATGGACCACTGTATTGCAAAAGTGACCAACGAAATACACGCCAGCAGTGAATCTTTCTTCCTTTTGTAGATGTTCTATGATTGTTCCTGTAGATCGGTTTATATTTTTTGACTTTGCTAATGTAAATAGGTTTTGGTGATGTTTTTATTTGCTAAATACAATAAATTTTAATTATATAATAACACCTTTGTGTCCTTTTAGTTATTTTTATAGAATCTCTCAAAGTAGATTTATATTTATTCATTATGCATACGACCCAAACCAGTGGCCTACTCTCAAGGTTTTCTCTTTTTTTTTTTCTTCAAACGATAACTGTGTGGTCTGCACTCGCTGAAAAAGCAGATTTGACTAGTGGACTCACCAGCCAGATGCGGTTCGAGGTTAGAAAATCTTCGACGTAAACAGGATGTGAACAATTTCCAGACACCGACCACTCGCGGAACGCCAAATTTAAACGCTTGGGGTTCAGGGTTTGTGGCGAGGGAGAGAACAGTGGGCGAAATCCAGAGTCCAAATCGGCTGTAGGACGCGTTTCAAATGCTCCATGCGATCGCTTTGATTTGTATAATCTGGCAGTGCCCTCCACACCCTATAATGCTGAGCGATGTAATTTCGTCTGATCTGTGGGAAGTCGGGAGGAATGTTGACTTGGCCTACATATCGCCTGTTTGTTTTCATTCTGCCTATGAAGCCTCAACGGCTCCTTTAAAAGCTTATAGCCGCTGGCATGGCGTTAAAAGTTTGTTTTTGAGTCAAAACCTTTTGCTTAAATGTTTATCTGTGGCGGCCGAGAGTGATCTGCAGGCAATGATAGGGTTTCTGTGTTTAACTGCCAGTGCTAAAATGAGCAAATTCCACTGTCTCTTGCTCGCTGAAAACAACTTGATAGGGAAAGGGAGGGGGGATGCAAAGGGACCGAGGGAGAAGCAGTGGTGCTTTGTTACATAACAGTCCTTAAATTGAATAGACGAAAATACTTTGTCACTTGCGCAACGTTGACTCAGCGTGCTCTGCAGATGGCGGAGTGTGAATTGAAAGCCTCGGGGCATGAAAGAGGACGATCAGCCGTCTGAGGGCCGTGTGGTTGGGGAAGAGCAGTCTGGGTGTGAGAGCAGCTTCGGGACACATGGTTTTTCATGGGGTGTGAATGTGCACATGTGTCGTGAGAGAGTTGCATAGGAGTCTAGACATCTCTCAATTACTAAAAGAAACAATCCGTCATTGGTTGCAGGCTTTCTGACACTTTAGGTCAACATCTTTAGCAGCGTTCTACAGTCAATGCAATGTAGCTTTGGATACAATTTTAAAGAGAGATTAATCTACAGTAAATAAAAGCAGATCACTGTAAAAAACATCTGTAAATGAACAGTTTTCCCTATTTTGTAGGGGTGTAACGATACACTCAGCTCACGATACAATGTGTATCACGATATAATGTTCACGATTCGATATGTATCACGATATTTGGAATAAAAATAGAAAATTAAACTGAAATGCAAATTAATTACCAAGTAAACTATTTTTATGTATATCTTTTGTTTCAACTTGTTAAACTGAACCTTCTTTAAGAAACTAAATTAAACAGGACTGTCTCTGGAAAATAAAACAATTTAAAAACTTCTTATAAAATATTATTGAAATGATTCAATTCAGTTGAATTTAACAGTAAGAGCTTAAGGCTTTGCTTGGTCACTTGCTTTTTTTGTGTGTGCAAAAATAATAATAATTCTACATTTCCAGGTAATCAGCAGTTCTTTTAAATAATCCTGAACTTATGTGTATCTGTCTGAGAGGTTTTTATGGATGGCTGTCTTCATGTTGGGCATGATGAGTGACAGGGTGCCCGTCTTTTCATTACACAGGACAGTCGTGGCTCTTTTCAGCAGTTTAGGCAGGTTTACTATTTCTTTGGCGTTGCTGATGTCGGCTCTATCAAGTATATTATGTTGACGTGCATTTTTGTGTACCTCTTTACTCAAAAGAGTTCATGCTCGTCGTAATCATAACTCTAAAATGCGATATGATTATTTAAATAATGTGCACACTTTCGGTTTCATTTCCACTGCTGTTCATACTTCCCACGCGGCTCCTAAACGATCACTCTGTTCCACAAACTGAATGTTGTTTACTACTTTATTACCTGTTAGTCACAACCTGCAGGTTCTGTTCACTGAAGCAGACTATCATAGTCCGCCCTCTGTAGTAACAGCTCACGGTCAGCTCACGTCATGTGTGATTTTGCAGCCGCCAATACATCATTATATGAAGACAGAATGATATTTTAGGGTGAATTGTACCTTATAAATACAGTATGTGACTCTTTCAACACCATTAGAAGGTATCCATGTCGCTGTGCAAAGTATGTAAATCACTGTGAAGACTTTAAAACTTAAGATGTTTGACCCAGTATGCGTGTCAAAAA